TCCAAATATATCATCAAATCACACAGTTTATATGCAGGAAGGTATCTTTAAATATCTAGATTTAAGGGAAAAGTCCTGATGATTTATTAAGATTACTTAAACTGTGTAATAGATACAATTTTTTTTCTGTGATTCACACTAGTATAGTACAATAACATATCATAGATTCACTGGATAGAATGAAATTTAAATTGCTTTCAGGAAAAAGAAAAATATATGAGATTACCATAGTAGATTTAGCAGGTAAAATATTAGTTTTACTAACAAAATTATTTATATTGGTTAATACTAATATGACAGTTTACCTGGACAGGACACCATCGTCCAAATCTACTGGGTTGCTTAAAACCACACTGTAACATACGTTTAGCTAACTTTTCACCAACAGGATAAACACGTTCAAATAAACTATGTCGGAATTCAACATATGGTTTTAGTTTTTTGGTCATCATATAGCGAACTATATGAGGTTTTCTACCACCATCAACTTCTAATCTTGGGATTAAAACTTCTGTTAAAGCTTCCTGTAAAGTAATAATATCATTAAAATATGCACACTACAATTTATATATGTGACCCACTCTCACGAAACCAGGAGCTTGTCGCACATCTTCATTTTGTCCTACAGGCAGGGGCGTACATAGCGATTTTGTTTGGGGGGGATGTTTAGCCAAAATGCGACCGACTGATGCCCATACCCCTAGTACGAGTGACGCAGTCAGGAACCGAGCACCACAGGTGCGAGTTTTGTAGGGGGCCATGTGCAGTAGCGGATCTAGATGGGGTGGGGGGGTCCAAATCTAGGGCGCCACCCCAGCCACAATCCCACCCCACAATGAATGTCAACAAAATACTGGCTATAACATTAAGCGTCCCGGTAGAACATAGGTGGTATTGTATAATTATATAGTTGTTTGCCGATCGTTGTCTCGCTGGAAAGCAGTTTTATTGAAGTTGGCATAAAGTTTATGTCATATATGATTGTGCCTATAACACTGAGCAACCTGAGAAATTTTTGAAAAATTGAGTCAATATCTTGGCATTTGAGGTCATTGCTGGGAGAAATTCTTGTGGACGAGAGGACCAGAAATGTGAGTCAATTGGACAAAATCTCAAGATCTGCCCCTGTCAATTCCACCTGTTTTGCAAGAGTTGACAGAACTTTTGTATAGTCTGACGCCCCACGACCCACACACCAGTGCCAATGGTACTACTAACATAACTAGGCAGTTCAGTATAACCGTGAATATGATAGTGCTGAGACAGTATAAAACAACAGAGGAGTGGAAGAATGATGTTATAATGGAATCGAGCGCCGCAGGCGCGAAAAAATTTGAGATGTGTAACCGAGCTTTTAATTTTTGGGACTGGGTCTGACAATTTTAGTCAATGTCATGGCAAATGGATCAAAATTCTTGTTAACGAGAGGATAAGAAATGGGACAGAATCTTGAGGCCTATCTGTCAATGTCGCCTGTTTTGTGAGAGTAGAACTAACAATTCTACAGTCTTTTGACCCACGACTCACTAGTGGTACTACTAACTGGGCGTTTCACTGTAACTGTGAATATGATAGTGTTGAGATAGTATAAGACAGAGAAGGAGTCGAAGAATGATGGCATAATGGAATTGAGCGCTGATATGTAACTGAGCTTTTAATTTTTGAGGACTGGGCCTGAGGGCACTTTACCTCAATGGGGCGCTTACTTGGTCTCTGAAATGCCCTGGACTTTGGGGAGAGATTTTGCAGAATTCTGATGGCCAGAAAACACCCCATTAATTCATTTAGTCTGAGACCGACTGCGGTGAGCACTTTTTTTTGAGACCGACTATTTTTTTGCCATGGGGTGAAAAACATTTTTTTCAAACATGATAAGTCGACAAGGTTATTTTATACTAAAGTTTTGCGTGAGTAGAGTGACGTGTGCAGTGAGCACTTATTTTAATACCGACTGCTCATATCTTACGACCGACTGCACTGAATTTGCGACCGACTAGTATTTGGGATCTATTCTGGCATTATTTGTTTACCTCATTAATTCATTAAGACGGCGATGCATATTTTGAGACCGACTGCAGTGACTGCACTTATTTTGAGACCGACTATTTTTCTCCCTGGGGGAAATTTTGTTCTTAGACCTACATACTCACAACAGAATAAGAGTGAAACACATTAAGTTGACAAGGTTATTTTATACTAAAGTTTTGCGTGAGTAGCGTGACGTGTGCAGTGAGCACTTATTTTGATACCGACTGCTCTTATTTTGCGACCGACTGCACTGATTTTGCGACTGCTCTTATTTTGCGACCGACTGCACTGATTTTGCGACCGACTATTTTTTTTCCTGGGGGGGTGTACCACCCCCCCACACCCCCCCACATTTACGCCCCTGCCTACAGGTACAAAAGCATAAACTGTATGCCTTCTTGTTGCTGTGAATGAGCTGAACTGCATTTTTGGAAAGCTTATAGGTTGTGGACTATGTAAAGATGGTGCCAGCTCTATTTTTATAAAAATGATCAAGAGTCTGGTTTTGTGAGTGCAGCTCACATATATATGTATAAAAGTTAATATTCTTTCCAATACAAGTTTTAGGATTATTGAAAGTCATATTGTTAGGTTTACCAAAAGAAATACTTCCTCGAGAGCCAAGTTCCTAAACATATTTAACCATCAGAGAGAAAGAGAGAAATGGGGTTTAATGTCCACTCAAAACAAACTAGGTCATTTTGGGAGTAACATATGGTTAAATTTTATTTCAATAATTTGCTTGCACATAGGGATGTTTAGCAGTAAAAGGAAACCTGAGGGGAGAAAACCCACAAAGTTGAATCTAACCATCAGATACATTCAAACAACTTGAAAAATCATAGTTGTTACCACAAATTTTAACAAGAGCCCATGCAATGTGCTGCGATAAAAAATTGCAAAACAGAAGCTGACACTCTAAAATAATTAACAGATTTAATTTGGGGGGTTTATTATGGTATTGAGTCTATATTTTGTCCTGGTCATTAGAAATATAATACTTTCAGGAATAATTATCTTTTATGCATGGTCAAATTGATGATCTAATCATTCAAGAGAAATCATATCTTTAAAATAATCCCACAACTCCACTGAATGCAATCCTTTAAACACCTGGACTCTCAAAATCAAAAGAACAATACAAGAAAAGGAGATGATTAACCAAAACATATAAATTATTCCTAGTATTCTTTAAAGTCGATTAAAAACATTTTGATCTGATATACTGTATTTTACCTGTACACTATCTAATTTATTTGTATCAATATCATAAACTTCATTTAAATCATTTCTAATTCTATCTATAGCATCTTCTTCTAATTCTTCTTCTTCTTCCTCCTCTTCTTCTTCCTCCTACAATTATACATTACAACTTATAGTTTGTATTCCATAAAACTTACTTTTACAAGAATACCTTATAACAACTCTAATGTAATGGTATGGGGTTTAACACCTTGTTAACACAATACTTCAGTGAAACTTTTATGTGTATGACAATTTGCATGATGGCTCTTTTTTTTTTTTGTTGTCCTATTTGAACGACAAGACACCAAATTACTATGGCCCACCACATCAATCATGTCAATCTTAACTTTCACAACACTAGCAACTATTTGTCATCTATATTTTCTGTGGATAACATAAATATTGTTCAAGACGTTATGAATTTTCATCAAAATATAATCTGATGTGAGTTTCTGAAATAAAATAATATACTTAAACCCTAACTAAATTAAATTAAACAGTAAGAAATCTTATCTGGTAAAAAGCAAATCGTAAATCTTAGATAACATACCTCAAATTCCTCAGCTAGAATAGCTTCAATGTCATCTTCTTCTTCTTCTTCAGCTTCTTCTTCCTCCTCTATTTCTTCTTCTTCAGAATCATCCCCCTCACGCTCAGCTGCTTTCTCAGCCTAGTGGTAGAAAGTCATTCAACATCTAACTATATTTTTACTACATATTTCAGGTAACACATAATTTTGTAAAAAAAAAATCATAGCTAATTCCACTGGCATATATATTGCTTGCTAAAGACAAGAGAAGACTATTTGAAACATTACTGAGTAATAAACAGTAAATTGTATTCCAAAGAATTGTGCCCTGCGCATCCTCCAAAGGGAGCCTATCTCCCAAAACATGGGAGATAGACAACTGAAAGGACATGAGAGATGTAAATTATAACTTACTGAAGCATTTATACAAAATACTAAGTCAATAATAATGAATACAAAAAATGAATAATAAAGATAACAGAAGCAAAGACAGAATAGATAATATTATGTCTTACTGACCTTCAATTCATTGGCTCCATCTTTTTCTCCCACTTTTAACTTTAGAGAACAGAAGAGAATAGATATAGAAAAGAAGAACAAATTAAACAGAGAGAGAGAGAGAAAGAGAGGGGTTAACATCCACTAGACACAAACTAGGTCATTTCGGGACTAACAGGAAATCAGAGGACCCTGAGAAAACCCAGGAGGTTGGACAGGCGACCCTACTCCTTGTCACGTACTACCGGGGAATCGAAACCACGACTGTTGATTCAATGACAGACCTTATTACAGTGCGCACATGCTAAACATTCGGCATTCCAACCCCGCAGTTTTAATAAAGAGAGAGAGATACGAGAAAGTGTATAGACGGTATGAAAAGAAAGTGTATACTATATGATTTAACAAAACCACATAACTTACCTGTCTTTCTTTTTTTTCTTTAATCAATTCTTCTCTTCTTTTCTGTATAGTTGCTTCCTGCAAATAAGGTATAAAAAATTATTTACTTTCGTCATTTTGAGTCTTAATACTTAACTTGTGAGCCGATCTCTTGAGGAGTGGCTGGTTGAGGTAAGTGAACCTATACCACTTTATCACACTGATCAATGAAAATGAAACAAATATAAAGATGAAATCTATCCCCCCAGAAATAATCCTTAATAATCCCACTGGAAATGCTTTAGAGCAGTTCTGTATACTAGCTTACCCTTTTTTTTTTAGCCTTTTCTTTGCGTTTTTCTTTGATTGCCACACGTTTATCTCGTTTGATTTTCCATATGTCTAGTTTTGGTGGTAGCAGACGTCCTATGACATCAGCATCAGTTACTGACAGAATGAGAGCAGCATCAGTAAACAAACCCATCTCGGCTAAATATCGTACTTCATCTGCTGTTCTAGGAAATCCTTCCAAAATAAAACCTGTTGACCTGAAAGTTAGAAATATGATAAGACATATTTTTAGAAAATAGACTTCAAGGATCAAAAATCTGTCACAACTCTAGAGCAATTTTTTTTTTTTTTTAATCCACTCCCATGCTGAACTTGGTTCAGTTTTTTTCTATTGCTTGACATCATGAACACACCTATTCATGTCTACCAAAATGTATAGACAATATCCAATTTCATGCTTGATTTATTAGGTCAGGATACCGTTAAATTAAGATCAATCTCTTGGGGAAATCTCTGAACAATTCTAATGTTTCACTACACTACAACTTACTTGAATGGTTCTTTATGCCACCATTGTGTTAGAATATTATCCATGACTTCCGATGGAAGTGGTTCATCAGATTCAAGATTAGCTTTAATAGCTTCCTCATCTTCTGTAAACTCTATCTCAATTTCTTCTTCCTAGAACACAAATTAATATTCTACATTTCTTTACTAGTAAAACTGCTACAGTTGATAGTATAATTAGTAATGTGTTGGTGTTAAATCAAATGATCTGACTTCCAATGGAAACTGATCCGTCAGCATTTACAAAAATAGGATGAATTGTCAATTTCACAACATTCAGCATCCTCTGTAGATAACATGAACTAATATAGCCAGCACTACTTATTATAGTCTGTTGATGGCCTTTTTTTAATCCAATTGATCGATGCCAGATTATCTACTGTTGACAATTCATTTTTTAATCAAAGGTATTAACCTTTGAAAAATTACATATTGTCTGAAAAATGCAAACGAAAATCAATAAGAATTAGTCATATATTCTTATACATTTATTTATTTACATTCATATCTTTATCAGAACATAATGTAAAGAGAATTTCAACAAACCTCAGGTTCAACTACACCTGATTCTTTGGTTTCTAAATCTTTATCAGTATTAACAGGTTCACCATCAGGTCCTATTATAGCTCCATCTTCATTTCTACAAATATAAAAACAGAATAACTTTATCCCTCTTGCTTCATGGAGTTAGCATTTGTTTATATATTGTATGCGTTTGTATACGAAAGAAGGTGGTTAGGTATATCAACTTCTAAAACATACGAGAAGTGGAATAAGATGTTTTAAATATGACACACATACTCTGCCTAATAGATGACATCCATCATAATGGAGTCATAGTTTGAACTTGGTCTTATTTTCAGATTTGCTCAAATTGCTCAAAATACCAATATAGTGCTATTATTAAATTTTAAAAATACTTGAACTTACTCTTCTTCTTGTTCTTCTAAAACAGGAAATGGTTCTTCTTCGTATTCTGGTCCTATTTTACGCTTAGTTTTAGCTATAATCAGTTCCTGTAGTCTTTCATTGAATGATATGTGAAATAAACCTAGTTTACGAGCCAAATTACGTCCATGTAGTGTTTTACCTGCTCCTTTCTGACCTAATATCAATAATCTTGTTGGTGGTGTCTAAATTTAAACAATAAATACTGATTTATTCAATATGATGTCAACATATAAACACAGTGATATTTAAAGTCTGCGTTCACACAATCTCATTATTCCATCCTCGGTTGTACCCGACAAAATGTCAGGTAAAAAGACAAATCTGTGCCTGACACAAAATAAATCATACTTGACAAAGCCTGAATCAGTCACATATATAGATGGGTTTAATCCAGGCTTGATATATATTCAAAATTTTGTATTAATGTTTCATATAACAGATCATATGCATGACTTCTAGATTACCGGTACATCAAAATTTGAAAAGACGAGTGTCTTAAACTTAAGAAAATATCGTAGCACATTGATTTAGCCTTTTATTATAAGAAAGTGTACCAGTAATTTATATCTCATAAACTCAATGTTTATTTTTCCGATTCTAATCAACCTATGGTTACCTTAGTTTAATCTTTCCTATTTATCAAATAAAATACTATACCTGTGGTGTTTTGGTCGTAGGTAAAAATTCTACAGGATTTTCTAAGAATTTATCTTTACTGTCTAATGTAGTAAAATAATATATCCTTTCTCTGAATATAGCAGCTATTTCAGGATTTCCTGGTGCTAAAACATTATTCTCTTTTAGAGTAACTGGGCAGAAATGATTGGTTTCTCCTAGGTGTTTCTTTCTGCTACGATTGGGATCTTCTTCCTGAACATACACATGAAAAATATCTATTTTTTACCATAATAACATAACCGATTCCATCCATTATTTCATAATTCAAGACAGAGCAATGGGGGCAATCTTAAATACTTGCCTATTTAAAATTAGTGTATGTACAAATAAAAATAAAATACTCGATTCATTCAAATTTAATATCTTAAAGTTACAGTTTTATATTTTCTAAGAAAGTCAAAACATAATTATTTCTATGTGTTTTGCTCAATAGGTTGTCAACTCACTATTATACGATCATAGGTTATCTTTCTCACACTTAAAAATCTTCACACCGGAAATAATAACACAATTACCTCCCTTGTTTTCCTATTCCCCACCATGAAACAGCTATCTTCAAACATTTGAATTTGAATTTGAAAATATTTTTGCCAATTTCTCAACTGGCAATAGTGAATTATAGGATTAATGGGATTATTCTTTAACAAGGTAGGACTGTTTATAGATACCATCTATTTTAGGGCTTTATTTTAATACATTTTAAAAATATAACTTAAAAATATGAAATTGTAACTTTAACTTTTTGTTACGATTTTATCCCATTTCCAAACTACAAAAAATTGTACAAAGTGCTTTTGTACAGAATCGGATACTGAATTATTGCCATAGTCACCAGGATTAAGATCATTTTCACATGGGTCAGTGTTATCGGGTTGGAGAGGTTTGGGGGGCATGGGTGTTGTTGTCCATGATCAATTTCATAATCCAAAAGGTCATTAAGTTAGAACTCCTCAGTTGATGTCGTTTATAAAATATAAACATACCTCTTCTGGTTCTTCTTCCTCTTCTTCAGGTATATCATTCTCTATATCTTCTTCTTCTTCATCAATATCTATACCAGATCTTTCCCACGCTTGATATCTAATTGGTTCTATTAATAATCAATTACAATAAATAATCATTTATATTCATCACATGACTGAATGATTATCTGTCAATTCTAAATGATTTAACTTCTTGCATTTCTGGTTTTCATCATAAATTGTTCTTTTGCTGAAAATTATGCATTTTGTCTTATGCATTCTACCAAAACAAAATATTTATTCTTCACTTGATAAACCAATCGACACCATGGGCAATAGATATCATGGGCTATAAACCAATAGACACCATGGGCAATAATCAATTCTATCAGAACAGTCTCCCAAAAGTCATATTTTGAGATAAGTCTAGTTTAAAATCTGATTTGGAATTGTCTTCGCACCAAAGAAATTGAGTAAAGCACTCAGTTATCATGAAAATACAAGGATATAAAAACTTACTTTCTATTTTATCAACAGCATTCTGTACAACTTTTTCTATAGTTTGATCTTCTATATCAACTGTCTGTGGCTCTATAGACGTATTACCACTAATAGTAGAATGTACAGATGGAAATTCTTTCTCAAACTCTTTCTTTTTCTCTCTAAATATATCCATTTCCGGACCATCAGGAATTTTCGACTACAACATAAACTTTGTAAAATTAGCTGGCCATGCTAATATCTATATGATTCTGTAATCTACAGAATGGATTTGACATCACTCAACACAATTCAAGTCAATTTTATTTGAATAATTGCCTGCATGCAGAGATCTTTAGCAGTAGGAGGAGACTGGAGAACCTAGAGAAAACCTGTAAGGTACAGCAAACAATCCTATCCAATGTTACATACAAACAAGTCTAGGATTGAAACTACGTCATTTTACACAATCACAGACCTTATGATCTAAAGAGTAAAGTGCATACATTAGACAACTCAAGACACTAAATGTCAAATGACCTATTTTAAATTAGAAGGATTTTTTATACTTTCAAATAATACGGGTAAAACTGTTCCCAATAGAAACATCATTTTCAAAATTTGGCTGTTTATATTTCAAAACCATCATTACCTTTTCTGATTCAGCAGGTAGGGAATCTTCATCACCTTCCCCTTAAAAAAAAATAAAAAAATTACAACTGTTAGTATAAACAAATTTTTAAAAGAGATCATTAACTTTAATTATTGCCATTAACTATTCATTGAAATTTAAAGGAGCTAAATCGCTAACATTTGGGACCTAGAAATTGACAAAAGTGGGTCGCAACGCATATAATAATGTAGTATGAATGTATATAAACTGATTTACATTCAATGGTTTCCGTTTTTACTCCAATTTCAAATCAGTTATGTTCGGCGAAATAAGCTAGCAGTCTCAAGCGAGTGCAAATTTCTAGCGTCTGGTTATTCCTGTCTACATACGCCGTTTGATTTGGTGCAATGTGTCTAGACTCGTCCCTCGAGTCTCTTGATACAACTGGGGCTGAAGCACATTATGGTACACGATTCGTGTACCGATGGTAAAATGTTTATTTTGTCTTAAATATTAGATATCAAAAGCCCATCTTTTTCCGGTAAGATCACAACATGAATGTTGATTTAATTTGACAAATAAATCATGTTTTCTATGTTGAAGGTTTTGGATGATATTGAGTTAGAGACTTAGCTACTTTAAACTGAATGGGGGAAACACTTGACAACATACCTGCTGGAGGAATTTCTGGCTTGTCACCCATTTCTAATTCATCTGTAAATATTCATAAAGTATAGATTTCATAAATTATAACAGATTTCATAAATTATAACAGATTTCAAGATTATTTCTTACATTGAAATATCCATATAAAAAGTTGGTAGGACTAAAATCTAAAACAGCTGAATTTTTCTTTTATTTCTGTGAGTATAAATAAATTGAATATAAAAGACTATATGAATTAAATTTATTTTATATCTACTTCCATGAAACTGGTATTGCGGAATGGTATGATAATATATCTATACCTTTTGGTGTATCTTCTGTTTGTGATTCTCTTTCTTCATCACCATCTACAGACTGATGATCTGTTGTTTCACCGTCACCTATAAATATATTATTTATATGATAAAAAGTGTTATGTATAGGCAGGGATTTCTTATTCTTTTTGGACACCAGAAACTTTTTCACCTCAAGTTTTACTCAAATTTTTTCAGTCACCCATTGTTAGCGCTACAAGCATATTAAAATCAAAAGGGTATCAATATTCTGCCTTTGATAAAAACAGGGTTTAAGGTGTTGTATTTTAGGTGTAAAACTTGGGTAAAAGGTTTTAGTAGCCTCATGCACAGATATCATTTGTCACATCTGTGAGAGGGATCTTTGTGTTTTGTTTAATAGCTTTGGATACATCTTAACATCATAGATGTACTGTGTGCCCAGTTTTCCTTTTAATACTTTCTTTTGCTTGGATTTGTTGTAAATTGAGAATCTCAATCTGAGTTACATTTGTAGACACGGGTGATAATGTGATAGACAACATGATGTGAATTTGGATAGAGGCCTTTGACATATGGAACAGTTGTAGTGTATTTCATATATACTCATTATACTAAAAGAGAAAATAATTTTAAACATTAACACTAACCTTCAGTAACTTCTTCCCCTTCTTCTAATCGTCTCTGTTTTTCTTCTTCAGCAGCTTGTCTTTTGGCTTCTTCTGCAGCCTTCTTGGCTTCTTCTTCCTGACGTCTAAAACAATCAAAAGAACATTTCATCATCTGAAATCAACAGAACCCTATGCATATCATTTTGTCATTCTAAATCATTAAATAATTCATGATATCTTACTTCTTTTCAGCTTCTTTCTTAGCCTTTTCTTCGCTTTCTTGTGCTAATCGTATATTCATCTTTTGGTCGACCTCTTCTTTATTTAATTGATAATATCTTTCCATTAAACAGCTTCCATTATCACTATTATCTTTTAATATAATCACATCATCTGGAGTAATGTTTTTCTCAATACACACAGCCCACTGATCTCGTGTGTTGGGGAAATTATCTAATATCCAGCCACCACTCCTACAACACAAAAACAAGCCGATAATTAAATTTTAAAAAAAACCCCACTTTATTTCAATAAAACAATATGCAGATTCGAGATACTTGTAAATAAATACATAATAATAGAAGATGGATGCTTTATAATAACCTGATTAATATTTTTCTCATTATTTAATTTATAAGTTTGTCATCAGATTTAAATGAACATACATGGGTCCATTTGGTTTCTTTTTCTGTAATTCTCTCTCTGCATCCTTAATGGCTGCCTCCATAACTTCTATATAGACATCTGCTGGTAACTGGACTTCTTGTTTTTCAGCTTCCCTCACTGCAGCGTCTACTATAGCAATAACTTCTGGATGAGTAGCATCAACTTCAGGTTCAGGAACAGATTCAATTTTGGCAGATTCAGGTTTTGCTATTTCTTAATTAAATAAATAATTGTAAATGCTTATTACTCGAACACATATGAAATAATGGGAATCACCTACGTATCTGTTGATCAAAAATAAAATCTAGGTTGGGATATAAACTGTGTATTAGTTCTATATAGTGAGATGAGTACACAATGTAAATAATGTTTAACAATTAAAATCTTGTAAAAATTTTAATTACATATTACTTTAAGACAAACATGGTTTATTTCAAAAAGATAAATTTGGCCACAACTGATCCTATCCACTATCCATCATGGTTTGACTTTGAACTACTATTTAGAATGATGTACCAAGTGGAATGACACTACAGCTCTGGTCCAATAATCATCTTCAACAATTACACTATAACCCCAACAGCATACTCCTCGCATTGTTACGTTTGATTAGACCTAATCCCACTTAAAAACTGCTGTAACGAAAGCAAATTTCTGTTTCAAATTATGACTGGTTCATAGTCCGATTAACAACCAATACCTAACTGTGCATCAATATCATTCAGCTTTAAACAGAGCTCCAGATATGTTTACATAACGTTACATCATGACTCACGAAATTTATTATGCCCAATTAACCAGTGCATAGCAGAAGCAGAATATTGCAGAAAAACTACTTTTGTGACAAACAAGGCTATCAAAACGGCAAACAATGTAAACAATATTGCTTGGAGACGAACAATACTTTCGTTGTTTTTAACACCTTAAATGACTGTCCAAAGTTTTAGGGAAGACCCCAGATTAATCGAAGGGCTGTCATGTTACTGTACTTAGGAGATATTTGATTGAACAGGAAGAATAGACACACTCCCTCAAAAGCTCAAGTATCAGAAGTCAATCCAGCAATGGCCAGAGAGAGGATATGCCCCAACAGCTACATACAGATATTTATGATAAGTTAAACATATTAATAAAATTTATTATTAATCATTACTAATTAATAAAAATATTAAATATTAAGTTTGTTTGTAAATAAGGTATAATAATAGTTAACCTGGGGTTTCAACTTTTCCTTCTTCCTTTGGTGAATCTGTCTGTTCTTGTGTTTCTCTAGGAGTTTCATCTTTAGGTGAACCTTATTGATAATTGTTAGATTATAGATTGCATGTACAATTGTCCTAATATTAATTTATAATAGAGTCTTGTATCCCATAGTAACTAACTCAGGAAATAAGTTATACACTACTAAAAATATTTGCTATGATATTTTAATACTAGGATAAACCTCATTATACCTTTAATTTTGTTTTTATATCTGCTAAATCATGTACATCAGAAAGGTCACAAATCAAGACCATGATAAATCTTATCTGTGAAATATTAGTAGCAATGGTATCAGACGGAAAACAAATGATTAAAAATCTTTTCAATATGAATAATGCTTATAATATAATGGAGTTTTGAATACCGGGTATTGGTAATGTAAAGGGCATCTCATGTTAAAATGTTTCTATATATTTGACAAGAGTCCATGTACCTTACTTAAAGATAGTAAGAAACCTATCTAGACATTGTAATACATTTCAGTATATTATTTAACACCCACTATTGACGGTAACTATAGTTACCAATAAAATATTAATGAACTTCTATTCTAACTACAGCTAATTTTAATTCATCAATTATGTAAAACAATGGATTGGAACTATTCTAATTAATACAATACATGCAACAATAGAATACAATAAGCTAGGTGTCGCCAGTCTTGGACGTTGGAGTAGCGCTTAAATGGAAATGATCTTTTGATAAGAATCATATTTTCTTATCAATAACCGACATCAAATCAATCATAATGATATTACATGTAAGTACATACATATATTATTTAGTATATCATGTTAGTCTGATGTAGGTTGTAATGACCTACAGTTTGATTGAATTGAAAGGTAAAATAATTTTAAAAAGCTCACTACAAATACACAGAATTTTTGTTCATGCAGGAAATGAAATGAAATAAGGTTTAACGTCCTACTGTTCTGCTTCGACTGGGCTAATGAAGACGGGCATACGCCATATACAGTGTGCTATCAGGTAAATTTTGCCTGGACAGCGGCACTACGGCCTACTCTTATATCGAATTCCAACTACCAAGGGTTCTTTGATGTGCACGCCACTGTGTACACAGGACATTGTAGGTTGTCCCTTGCCAGGCCCTCTGTCCTGCACCACTGACAAAGGGGTACCACGACAGAAAATCCTGATTAACTTTCTTGGCCAATACCCAGAGTGAGCAAACGTCTTACTCACTGACCCACAGTGGCTCACTTTTCATGTAGCCTATCACATTTAAAGTTCTTGAAAAGGACACACATAAGTCATTCATTTTCCTTTGGATTTTCATATTAGAATTTTATCAAAATTATGCTTTTAAGTATTTTCAGAATAAATTTAAGTATATATATATCAGTTGTTAAAGATGGGTTCCCGCGTACAAACTTGGTGATTTAATGGTATATATGGACCAAAAACATATTCAAACTAATTAATTTGTCATAATTATGCTTCAAATCCTTCTCAAACATTGTAATTGCGAAAGAATGCCCTGCTATTAAAATTTGATCAAACCAGGTCATGTTTACGTCACGTCTTGGGAGTCAGAGGAGAATTCATTGCATACATAAGACGATGTTGTCTTTAATCGCTTACTATTTATTACAAATATTGAATCCTAATTAAATTCTCGGATTATCCACTACCCGCGTCTTTTTCCGTCATTTTTATCTCAGAAAGTATTGTACGTCTAACTCTTCATAAAGTTTATCAACTTGTACATCAAGAGCTCAATGTTCGCTCGTGACCTTTGACATCACGCGTGCAGAAGTTCCTAATCGACAGGCTGTTGATTAGGGGAACCCTTACATTTTTGTCCTGTATACGCTCCATGAATGTTTTTTGGGGAATCCAGTATTTTTCTAGTAAGATTGGATATCTCTACTTTCCACATATACCAAAATTGCCATACTTTTATTGGAAATAACCACCCGATAAATACTTTTCTGGGAACCCATCTTTAAAAAGGTTTTAATATTCAAGTAACTATATACCTGTTTCTTCTTCTTTTTCTTCACTCTCCTCTTCTATTTTAAAGGGAAAAAATAAACATGGATATTTATATAAACTCTTATTTGTGGAACCTACACAAGCAACATTTATACAAAAATACAAAAAATAAAAGCTTATTCTATCAAAAAGCTATTTATTATTCCCACTATATAAATATCTAAACCCTTTCACAATCTTTATATTTCCAGTAGTTTCAATAATGATCAAAAGTGCAAAAATATATTCAAAATGATTATTGACATAATATTAATATGCATGTATAAATGAATTAAAAAAAGATGATTTAAATGTTTTGACAAGTAAAAGCAGAAATTATAGTTGTAGGGTCACATATTATTTGTAATTTTTGATTCAGCTATACAAAAGATATTACATTAGAAAATTTAACTTAATGTACATTAAAGCTTTGTCAATTGACAAGACTTCAAATTTATTTTTATAAGTGAAAAGCTTATCCAATGGACTTTTCATTAGCAAAATGTTTTGTTATTGTTAAATAATGTTAAATTCTCTGCCACAAAGCTCACAAAAAATTTATAAACCATCTTGATCTTTCACTTTTCACTTGGTTTGTTATTACTGGTACTATTTGCCCTTGGTAAGAATATCATATTGGAAACATTATTAGATCAAATCATATCATAATATATGATTACCTTATGCAATAGTTTTATCCTTACCAAGGGCAGTTAAGATAAGAGATTAACATACACTTCACAAACAGCAGACATATTAATTATAAAAGACACACGTATAGAAAACTATCTAATAGGTACAAAAAGTTTTAGTTTTAGTTTTAGAGAAAGCAGATTAGAGCGTTTAGTATTTCTATTGTACTACCTTCTTCTTGTTCCTCTGATTCAGCAGCCATTGCCTCAAGTTCAGCTATCGATATCATACAATATAATATTACTACATGTTTTCTATTATTCAGAATGAATGAATGAAATGGAGTTTTATGGAACATCAGCTTCAAGCTTGCTAATATTGCACCACATTATTCAGAATAATTAGAATGCATTTGTGCATAATTTTAGGCATTACAATGTATGCAATAATGAATTAAAATAAGCACAAGGCCATTCTTCAATTGAGGACACAATGGAGTAGAGATAAACATTTTATTTTCTTTATTTGTATTGTATGTGATTTTCTTACCTTCTCTAGCAGCTTCCATTTGTTCCTTTAGTTTTGTTTTAACAGTAAGAATGGCAGTTTCTGTAGTTTCATCTCGAATTTTTTGTATGACATTTTTTCTCTCTTCACTTAATTTCGGTTTAATAAGTTCTTCCACATCTATTACCTAAATACCAAAAATACATAAATTTATTCCCTTGCATGATGATCAGAAAAAAGTATTTTAGTTTTTACATAACTATAATAAACCTACAAATTAGCAGAGATTTTGTTAACTATGTGAATTCCTCAAAGTAGAAGTGGTCTTAGGTAGTGTTACCCAGGGCTTCCACTTCAAAATTTTCACTACCGGTCATTTTTGATAACGCACGAAAACTTTTCAAAGTAAATTCATATTTCATGTTTTTTATTCATGGTATGGTATTGTGAATTCACGTGTCTATACCACTTTGTCACCATGGGGTACACAAAAAAAAATATATTTGACTTAAAAATGAAATATTAGTAAGGCTTATGATAATTATTTATTAATTAATTAAATATTCCATTTTGGCTACTTAAATAACGAAATAGTTGAATTGGCCGTAGAAAAACCATTTCAGTAGCTCACACGTAATTACCACGTGCTCCATAGTAAATACACTGACCTGGATAATTTTGAGTTGTAACACAATAACTTCGATATGAAGATAAATATATATTATCCACGGCATATTTCTCACATTTATTGGTTTTAAGACCATCTATTACGGAATTACGGGTCGCAGAATTGTGACGTAAATCCTAATAATGTATAACTAAATGACTAACGGATAACTAACTTCCCAGCTAACGACACTAGCGCCCCCTAGAATATCGTCGTGTGTAAGAGTAACCGTATATAAACGACATATTTTCTACACATGGAATTATCAATATCGCTGCACAATAGAACTGGGATACGTAATTTTCTTAATTTTTCGGTAAGCAAGTTAACTATTCTCTAAATTTAATTTCTACAATTTCCACAAGGCCATAATGCCGCTATAAAAATTTATCAATGCATTTTCCTCCCAACACGTACATGTACGTTGTTGAGGACTTCCGTAATTTCTATGCTGTTTTTATTTTATATGACAGTTAGTTGGATGCGAAGAGCAGTATTTTATATCAATTGCCTTTTTTAGAAGCTCATAATAACCTTGTTTACATCGTGCCTGACCGTAATAGCGGTAAACGGCTTTGATGTTGAAAATCCTTCTGACACGTGGACAATATGTGAATGATTAACAATGGACCGCTTCACGCCGTTGATTAGATTCCCACTTATCAATTAACTTTTATTGTTCTCTACCAGGCACTCATCATTAATTATCAACACATCACTCAGTATAATCTGTTGACGACTATTGTATTTATACAACTCTATAACACCAATCACGAGATTGGCTTCTATACGTGTGCATTCTTGTATAGTTACATAGTGGAGGTCGATAGTAGCCATGTTTGAAAATTGGGTTTTGGAAAAAAAGACTCTTTCCGGCGTGCAAAATGACCGTTAGGTCAGATCTAGGAACGGTCATTTGCCATAGCCGCAGGTCTCGACCGGCATATGCGGCCGACGTGGAACCCATGGTGTTACCTTTAGTGTTTTAATCAGGATCAAAGCTTAAAAAAAACATATCTTTCTTAATTGCTTCTTTCCGTTTCTATTATTCAAAATATTGAGTTCTTTTTCTAAAACTACCTTTGCATCATATTTGTTTGCCAGCAGATGGCAAACTGTTGTTTTTCCTGATAATGGAGCTCCAAGAACTGCGAGTTTGCATGGTGGTCTTGGCTGTGGTGGCAACAGGTAGGGTCTAGGATTTTTCAAAAACTTCTCCATGGCTTCAGCACTTGACAAACAGTAGATTTTATCCAAAAAACTAGAAAGGACATAAGTTTACAGGTCTAAATTTGTACATGATAGATTTTTGAGACAGAATGATCATAATTTTTTTTTTAATAAATACTGGATACTGGGATTTTTTTTATATCTTGATAATTACTATGGATATTAAATTTAACCAATTTTCTTTTTAAAAAAAACTTTTAAAAAAATCCATAGTAATTATCAAGATATATAAAAAAAAAAACAAACAAAAAAAAGTATTTAAAAAAAAAAATTGTGCAATATTACATGTACAGTGGACTCTGTTGCTTCCGACATCGTACGGGATCAATACAATACGCCGGATTATACAGCATGACTGAATACTCAATTTCTCAATACCACAAGTATTATTGTACATGTACCTCAAATACCCGAAGTATTATTTTAATGCACCTTCAAATACCCAGAACTTAAAATATGATAAACCTTTCTGTACATTCAAAGTAAGACGTGTTTTAAGCTCACCGATCATTGATTGGTGATTGCTTGTCGGATAACACCTACTGATTGAAGGCCAGATTATCCAATGTTAATTCAACACAAATCGTGTGACAGGACTGCCGATTGATGTCGTAATTCGGAATATTCATAATACAGACTACACAAAACTTTTTTGGTCGAAGTAATAAAGAAATAAATCTGGACATGTAAGGATGACAGATTTCACAGAATGCCGTAGTATTGAAATGTCGGAAGTGACCGAGTCCACTGTAGTATTTATGATTTTTTGGGGGGGTTGGGGGTATTTTTGGAGATTGTTTGAAAACTAAAGGGAGATAACTCTTCAATAGCATATTTTTCAATCCATACCTAACAGCATATTCCGGCTTGCCTTGTGTCATATTTCCTTCAAATAAAGCCACAGGACAATATCTCAGCCATCGACTTCTTCTCCATCGATATCTTGGTGCCACCATTTGTTTTGGTGCCAACAGCCTCATGAGTTCATCTGTGTCTGTGTCTTCAGGAATTTCTTCATCTTCAGGATCCCATAACCTGATGGGTACTGCTGCTGGTCGTAACACAAAACAACTCAAACGTGCTAACAATTGCTAGAAGAAAAAAAATATATTACTTTATTAGGAATTGCTCTTTCATTTATTTTTGATTAAATCTTTGAACATGAAGCTTCTGAATAGTAAGTTTAATGCTCTTGGGTTAGCAACAGTAATCACATGTTATCTACATGTATCTAAAAAAAATTGTAATAGTGTTCCTCCTTTGGATTAGCAGAACAATATCCAGATATAAACGACATGGTTAGACTGCAAATATATTTTGAAACTACTCATGTGGACATGGGATTTGCCTGATATCCTCAGTAGACAAATAATAAAATACCTTAAATAAAACTGTAATTGTTTGGTTAGCATCTACTTCTATTAAATACTGTTGATCATGATCAGCCATATAATCCTGCAATTTCAAACCAATAATTGTAATGAACATTACAATCTATTTCAAAGAACATAACATAAATCAACCATATGAAGACATAATTTTTTGGGAAATGTAATATTATGTATAATGTATGAGTTTTTTACCTCTAATATTCTCAACATATTATTTTTATACTTTAGAATATTATCTTCTACTTGTTGTTCTATATCTTCTGGTCTTCGAATTAATCTTTCTAATAATTCTTGTGGTAAAGTTTCTTCTTCAGTTTCCTACAAAAACATAAAACATCACCAAACAACTTCATATGTAAAACTTTTCTACTTTATTTGATTATTTGATTATAATTTATCATTCAGGCATTGTTACATTTTGAAAATCTGGCTGTAAATTTTAAGCTATTTAATTCATATTTAATTTGTAAAGCTCACTTCTTCCCCTCCTTCATCATCATCTTCTTCCTCCTCCTCTTCTTCTTCTTCACCTTCTCTTTCCATTGCCTAAGAATATATTCATTTAATATATAATCATTTAAATACATTATGGGAGATTAGATAACGAGTTGGCAGTTCTCATTATATGAACCGAGAACCAAGCGGATGAAAGTTCCGCTTAGCCTCGATCATCATTACTGAAGTCGATAAGACAAAACTAATAGTTTTGATTATCCATTTAATCGTTAATCACGAAGGAAAGTTTTGCAGCAAATCGGACTGCAATCCAACAAATATCGCAGGCAAGCCTTGACATCGAGAGCTGATTATGGTCTGGATAAGTTAATTAATGTCTAATTAATGGTTTTTATAACATTTCAGGCCTAAAGAAAGACCTGCAATAGGCCGATTTTGCTCTTGCATAATGTATGTTTAAATGAATTGGACCAGACATTGATTGATATATTTTCAGATTAGATATTACACTAACATCAAAGATCAATTGCTGGATGTCATGCCCCAAGCTTACTTTCTAGAAGATCTGATAACACAGCTAACACAAATCAACTGACGATTAATAACTAACAATACATGCCTTTATGAAATGAAATGGGGTTTAACGTCCTACTGTTCTGCTCCTATACTGGGCTAATGAAGACGGGCATACGCCATACAGTGTGCTATAAGGGAAATTTTGCCCGGGCAGCGGCACTATCTCCTACTCTTATATCGAATTCCAACTGCCACGGGATCTTTTACGTGCATTCCAATGTTTACACGGGACCTCGGTTTTTCGTCTCATCCGAAGGACTAGACAGCTGTCCTTGTCAGGCCCTCCGATGCCTTTATGATTAATACTAAAATGGTAATATGGTACAATGTAAAATCTATAGTCTGTGTTTTTTTACCGTTTTTTGTACTTTTTCTGGATCATAAACATCTTTAGTATAAATTTCTCCTGTGATGGGATCAATCTTCTGACCTAAACGTCTCTTCTCTATATCATTATCAGGAATCTATGTGAAATAAATCATTACAACAAAATTAAGAAGAGATAACATTATATCATGCAAATTGCCTTGAATTTTTATATAATGATGCTGTTCTAATCTTGATCAGATAGATAATGAAAGATTCAAGCAATATCAGATTTTAAATTAGATGTGTTTTTAAATGCAAATTCTAAAAACACCACTTATCTAAATGAAAAACTTATTTACATAATATGAAAATAGCATTAAACAGCTCAGTACCTTCAGATTAATTATAAAATCAGGTCTTAGCTTCCAGTTTTTAACCAGTTCCAGTTGATCTTGTATTGTTATAAACGATTCCGATAAACAGGGAAAATCATCCAATACATACCCTAAAAAAATAAATTTGAAGAAATAAGAAATATTTAAAAGTATGAAATGTAAATGGCTTTCTATGTGCATATAACTAGTTCCATTTGCAGCATCTATTTATTAAACTATGACAAAAAATAGGAATATTACCAAACCATTTATTAGGGTTTCACACTGCGTAGCTTGTGTGAAACACTATTGTTTTTGTTAAAATTATTAGGGTTTCACACTGCGTAGCTTGTGTGAAACACTATTGTTTTTGTTAAAATTATTATTAGGGTTTCACACTGCGTAGCTTGTGTGAAACACTATTGTTTTTGTTAAAATTATTATTCTTATTATTATTATTCTTCTTTTGTTTTGAGTAGATCTCAGCAACTGATTGTCGGATCGTTACGATTTCTTCGGTTTTATCGGAAAAGTGGGTGTGACTTAGAGGATAAAGCTATTTTGAACGTTCTGCGACAATGCGAAATGTCCGAAATCACCGAAGCTATCGTTTTTAGAAATATTGCAGTAATTTTAACAATAATCATTGGATTTTAACTTTCGATGCATTTTGGCATAGCCGGAGACGGGGCACATAGCTACGCTACTTTTGATTTTTGATTTTCGGCAAATCTTCGCAGATATTAGGCGCTAAATTTAGAAAATTTAAATTTTTACAAAAAACTTTTTTATTTATGAATATTTTTTAATCGTGTTTTACACAAATATAACGAGTCCTCTGACTTGGGCAAAAATGTGAAAATTTTTTGTCTCGGTAATTTTCCTTGGCCCCCATTGGCTAATTCAGTTTTTCAGTCCTAGATTAATTATTTATTGTTCGATTTGTATAAAACAAAGTTCATATGCCCCGTTGTCTCAATTGTCATTTTTTTTGTTACCAATAGTGTTATCTGTCGGCACCGGAAGTGGCGTAAATTGACAAAAAACTACAATTTTGACAGTTAGGTACCATTTTTCGAAAGCAAATATTATTTTTTTCAAATCTGGTATAACTGAAATTGTGCGCCTTTTAAAGGCGCACAAAATGTTGGGACCATGTTTTTTAATTTCGATTCCGTTTTCGGGCTATTTCGATTAAAAGGTGAAAAAAGGTGTAAAATTAAGCTATTTACAACCCATCCAGCGTTTTCATATTTTAAAATATTACTTCGTAACTTTCATAAACTCGTAGCAATAATCTATACGGAGAGAATGTATGTGAAAATTAATTTGTAATATGCGCAGTTGCCGAGAAATGGGCAATTTTGCATGATTCACTTTTTACGCTAGTTTGCCTGTAAAAGAGTCAATTATTATTCGAATTTCATAAAAGTGACACCATTTGATGTGTAATGTCAATTTTAACTAGGTCAAACCAATTTAACATTTTCAATATCACCGGAAATGACGTAATTTGGGCAAAAATTGTATTTATAGCCTTCGAAACCAGTAATTTATTCAAATGAGTCATATTTGTTATTTGTTTAAAATTTTGATATTTGATTCAAATGAACTAATACAATGAACCCTTACGATCATATAGATATCACAAAATGGTTTCTAACTTGTTCAGTTGCGGAGAAATAGGCAATTTTCAACAGGTCACTTTTTAAGGTTTTTTGTCAATAAAAGTGTCAATTATTATTCGATTTTCATGAAATTTTCATTGTGTGATACCTAATGCCATTTACGATTTCATACAAGTAATTTAAGATTTTCATTATCACCGGAAGTAACGTCATTTTGGCAAAAACTGTATTTTTAGCCTTCAAAACAGATATTTTATTCAAATGAATCAGATTTGTAATGTTTTTAAAATTATGATATTTGATTCCAATCAACAAATAGAATGAACTCATTCGATCATACAGATACCTCAAAATGGTTTCTAACTTGTACGGTTGCAGAGAAATAGGCGATTTTCTACAAGTCATTTTTCAAGGTTTTTGGTCTATAAAGGTGGCAACTATTATAGGATTTACATAAAATTTTCACCATGTGATGATGCTATTTCTGATTTCATAAACCAATTTAACATTTTCATTATCACCGGAAGTAATGTAATTTTGGTACCGGAAGTGACATAAGTTCAAGGGTAACGTGGCACCGGTGAAACCCGTCATTACTGCTTCGCAGTTCTAGTTATTATTATTCTTCTTCTTTTGTTTTGAGTAGATCTCAGCAACTGATTGTCGGATCGTTACGATTTCTTCGGTTTTATCGGAAAAGTGGGTGTGACTTAGAGGATAAAGCTATTTTGAACGTTCTGCGACAATGCGAAATGTCCGAAATCACCGAAGCTATCGTTTTTAGAAATATTGCAGTAATTTTAACAATAATCATTGGATTTTAACTTTCGATGCATTTTGGCATAGCCGGAGACGGGGCACATAGCTACGCTACTTTTGATTTTTGATTTTCGGCAAATCTTCGCAGATATTAGGCGCTAAATTTAGAAAATTTAAATTTTTACAAAAAACTTTTTTATTTATGAATATTTTTTAATCGTGTTTTACACAAATATAACGAGTCCTCTGACTTGGGCAAAAATGTGAAAATTTTTTGTCTCGGTAATTTTCCTTGGCCCCCATTGGCTAATTCAGTTTTTCAGTCCTAGATTAATTATTTATTGTTCGATTTGTATAAAACAAAGTTCATATGCCCCGTTGTCTCAATTGTCATTTTTTTTGTTACCAATAGTGTTATCTGTCGGCACCGGAAGTGGCGTAAATTGACAAAAAACTACAATTTTGACAGTTAGGTACCATTTTTCGAAAGCAAATATTATTTTTTTCAAATCTGGTATAACTGAAATTGTGCGCCCTTTAAAGGCGCACAAAATGTTGGGACCATTTTTTTTAATTTCGATTCCGTTTTCGGGCTATTTCGATTAAAAGGTGAAAAAAGGTGTAAAATTAAGCTATTTACAACCCATCCAGCGTTTTCATATTTTAAAATATTACTTCGTAACTTTCATAAACTCGTAGCAATAATCTATACGGAGAGAATGTATGTGAAAATTAATTTGTAATATGCGCAGTTGCCGAGAAATGGGCAATTTTGCATGAGTCACTTTTTACGCTAGTTTGCCTGTAAAAGAGTCAATTATTATTCGATTTTCATAAAAGTGACACCATTTGATGTGTAATGTCAATTTTAACTAGGTCAAACCAATTTAACATTTTCAATATCACCGGAAATGACGTAATTTGGGCAAAAATTGTATTTATAGCCTTCGAAACCAGTAATTTATTCAAATGAGTCATATTTGTTATTTGTTTAAAATTTTGATATTTGATTCAAATCAACTAATACAATGAACCCTTACGATCATATAGATATCACAAAATGGTTTCTAACTTGTTCAGTTGCGGAGAAATAGGCAATTTTCAACAGGTCACTTTTTAAGGTTTTTTTGTCAATAAAAGTGTCAATTATTATTCGATTTTCATGAAATTTTCACTGTGTGATACATAATGCCATTTACGATATCATACAAGTAATTTAAGATTTTCATTATCACCGGAAGTAACGTCATTTTGGCAAAAACTGTATTTTTAGCCTTCAAAACAGATATTTTATTCAAATGAATCAGATTTGTAATGTTTTTAAAATTATGATATTTGATTCCAATCAACAAATAGAATGAACTCATTCGATTATACAGATACCTCAAAATGGTTTCTAACTTGTACGGTTGCAGAGAAATAGGCGATTTTCTACAAGTCATTTTTCAAGGTTTTTGGTCTATAAAGGTGGCAATTATTATAGGATTTACATAAAATTTTCAACATGTGATGATGCTATTTCTGATTTCATAAACCAATTTAACATTTTCATTATCACCGGAAGTAATGTAATTTTGACAGGATCACTGACATGTAGCAAATGAATTGATTGCTGGATTTGGTTGTTTCTGCGTCCATTTTATTTCATGTGTGCAATGCTTATGTGGAAACCTGTTTAACGGTTTCATTGGTACCGGAAGTGACATAAGTTCAAGGGTAACGTGGCACCGGTGAAACCCGTCATTACTGCTTCGCAGTTCTAGTTATTAATTAGATTTATATTATGATACAAATGACTGATGAAGGGTCAAAAACAATATACTCACCATGATGAGCAACTTCAGGTGAATTTATTTTATCTTCAATCATTTTTATAACCATTTCTTCTGGTATAGCTTCCCCACGAGTTAATATTTCATTAAATTTTAAACCAACCTCTGTCTGTAGTTCCAAATTTTGCAGAATTAAATCAGTTGCTAAATGGAGAGAGAAAACAAAAATACATTACTTTATTTAATGTCATAAAAACTAAATAATCCTTTATAAATCTTATGAGGATAATTAATAATATTACCCATTAAGAATCCGCTCTTATACCAGTGGTAAGAAGAAGAATTTAATCTAGACAGTTGAATCCCTCTCTACTTCTCTTTGAATTCCATGTTACAATTAACTTAATTTTTCAAATGCAATATCAAGACAACAGTTTCCCTTCTTGACAACCCCACAAGCATTACCCTTGAAAAATCAGAAATGGGTTTTGAAAACATTTAAAGAATTCACAGAAATCTTTTACAGGACGGTACTAACCATTTATAAATTCACACTTCCATTCCATGGCTAATCTTCTAGCTAGAGTTGTTTTACCACTTCCAGGTTTACCAATCAGTATAAAACATGTTGGTTTAGAATGTAGAAATCTCAACTCAGTCTGTTATTATAAAGAATATAAGGCAAAATATAACATTTCATATTCATTACCAGAACACATTTTTCAGAGTTTGATTCAAAATTTATTCAGTTACATACTAACAATAATCATCATCAACATATTAGATTGAAAATTTAAAAGGTTGTTAATGGTTTGTTAAGTCGCGTTAGGAGTACTTACTTCATCTTCATCATACGGATCCATGTGTAAAGACTTGATGAGAGCTTCTGTATCAGCTGTATGCTGTGAAGGATCAACAACACTCACATACTCCATTGTTGGTGCTACTTCTGATTCTGCCATGGCCGGCTCCTATAATTATAAAAAAATTGTTTTTATTAGATTACACTCAATATTTCTTTATAATAAGCTTATTTAAAATAATCATATAACCATAACTTCTTATTTGCTTAATTATTGAAATTCCAATCACCAGCCTGCTTATAAGATCAAAGCAATTTGTATGAGAGTAGGGGCCTACACGTCCAAACATATTGAAAGTCACTATAATAGGCCTATATAGGGCATACAATTACAGTCGTGTACAACATGGATTTGACTCACAATGGTTGGTCTAATACACCCCTTATTAATATCTTAGTAATGGATTGGCATTACACGTACACTCTCGAAACTCAAAAATGACAGTTGAATTTGAACACGCTAATTGTAGTAAGTTCTAAGGCATAATAATACTTAAGGCTAATATCTTTCCAAATTCTAATCCACATCCTGGCTCTATTACTGACTGGTGTCACTTGAGTCTGACTCCTTGACCATGCACAAACAAGTTACAAGTTAAATAATACATTGATTGCATTGACAATCGTTTACCAACATTGTCCATATTATAGGTTTTCCACCTTTCCTATTTTGAAGTTTGAATTCGTTTTTTTTTTGTAGGCTTATTTGTAAAACCATAAATAATTATTACGGTATTATATATTCTAACAGATAATAACTATGGCATGGTAATGTCACCAAAAAAGTTGGGGGTTTTCTTTAGCCTTTTTTTTAATTCACACAAGACCATGAGTAATGACTAGTTGACTACTGACCTACACTTTTATCTAGAGAACTAATTAATGGTTTGAAATGCCGACGTGTTCCATGTATATCTAATCTTGTATCATTCTTCTTGGTAAAGCTTCGGGTAAATTTACAAAGAGAAATGTCCCGTTGTACATAGGATATTAAAAACTGACAGAAGGCATACAAACCTGAATGTTGTCGGAGGCCATAGTTGTTGTGTTACTAAGGAAGTGAGCCGCAGTACAATAATAAATGAAATGTTATAAAATTCTTTGATCCTTTTGTCTTGAAGAATATTGCCATCAAAAGTGAAACAAAGACATAAAATAATCAAAAATATTCCAATTAATATTTTATATTGTGTAAACAAATAAAAATGTTATTATTTACTTGCCGCGGAAAGACGACTTTGGGGGCAGTAAATATCCGGTGTAAACAAAACCACGTGGTTGACTGTTACGGCTTTGATCCAATCAGTTAATGGTGATGGGCGTACATAAGTCCTGTTCACACAGACGGTGGTCATAAATTGGCTATTATGATTAAATGAAAAGAAAACGCTCAGCTTAAAAATGTGAGAACAGTCTAAATAATATCTCACCAAAAACCTTTATTTTTGGCTTCAAAAGTTATAAAATAAATATTATTTAAACATTTATTCACATGACAATCCATTCCGCAATGTCCAATCAGTTTAACGCTCGAGACCAACAGATGTCGGAGAGTAAACGGATTGTCATTGAAAGACGGTTGCCATTTAATGATTTAATGTATTCATTTTGTATTATCTAATTTTGAACTAATATTATAGCAAGAACGTTCAGCACTTTATCTAAATCGTGCAGAATGCATCTTTAGTTAAAATATTTATACTAAGATCGCTCCGAAGAGGCGCAAGGGGGGCGCGACTCAGTGAATAAGCCACGGATTCGCACCCAATGTTAGCCGAGGAAGTCCATCGAGATTTTCAGGGGTCTTAGAAAACCACACCAATTACCGTAATTGACTAACAGTAAAAGTCGCATGCATAAAATTGGCATTTTTTTTTTGGGGGGGGGGGGGGTAAACCGTAAAATCCGCATTTAAAGGATCAAAACCTCTAAACTCAATATTTTCCACAATATTTGAAATTAAAAACACAAATTAGAAATCAATATTGGCCCATTTCAATCAAAATTGTTGTTTTTGTCTTACCGGGGGATCCTAATAGAATACACAATATTTAAGATACAGTAAACATTTTAAAATCAGTAAATAAGACGTGTAGGGTTTCAGGTGCCATTTGTAATAAACAAGGAAAATCCTACCCTACAATACAATGCGAAATTAATTAGTAATGGTTGCTTCACAAACAACAAAGTAATAATTTTTAAAAAAAACTTTACATATATATTCTAATGTATAAATTTCTATCTTTCTATCTTATTAATGTATATGTTCTCAAGGGCAAAATGTAAGAAAGGTCATTGGCCTAATTTTTAACCCTTTTGAAATAAAGTAATTAATATCATTATTATTATTTGGACAGTTCACATATTTCACCGAACATGATTGATTAGAAATTACAATTATTTTTTTTAAAAAATGGAGTATAAATCAATTATATATATATACTGAGCGCCATGGAAAACGCATCACTTTTTTCCCCAAATATTTTATTACCAGGTGGTTTTGTATGTATAATATTATGCAATACTATGAACTGTTGTTTCACACAATGCTCCCAAACGCAAAAAATATCGGCCCGTGTGCAAAAAAAAAAATTGCACGAGATGCACATGAAAAACCGAATATTCACGTGCAGCATTGTGTGTGAGCCCTTTAAAAGTATGTTTTCAACTTAATGTGCAGTACACATATTTTTTATTGAATTGCTCCTTATATTCAAATGCCCGAAATAATACAATTAATAACCTACCGACTATCCATCAAAACACTACTGTCTTACTGCACGGAATTGGCGACATAGAAACCTCACTCAATATTTTTAAAATTGTCCACTAAAATGCAATTCCGTTCCATAGACAGCTGTAACACAACCACGGTAATCATATTTTCACGTGTACATTGATTATTTATTCCTAAAATGTAAATACATGTATCTATATCTGACAGGGAGAGGGGTTTAATATAGGCTATGCCTGTTCACCAATCCCTATTCAGATACAAATCTGAATAAAATATTGCTTAAAAAAAAAAAAAAAAAAAAAAAAAATGTGCAATACATGAACTGTGAAACGTCAATCTGTCGTAATTTGTTGTTGGACGTGTGAAGGAATCGAGCTAGAGATGCCGAGACTCACTGAAAATAAACGGAATGAAGCTGCGTCTTCGAAACGAATCGATGGGGTGGGGAATTGTAATGGTGTGGGGAGGCTTCACATTTCATCACCGTATGGACTACCTGGCTGCTAACAACATCAATGTCTTGGACTGGCACCGATAGAACATGTCTGGGATGAGATTGGACGCCGTCTGTATCGGAGACCACAGATGCACACCATTGCTGCTTTAGAAGCTGCTCTTGTCCAAGAATGGAACAATTTGCCCCAGGTCTTCTTTCAAACATTGGTAAATTCCATGCGACGTCGCTGCACAGCGTGCGTATATAGGCTGGTTGGAGAAGGTGACAAATCCAGCTTAGTGGGAAGAAATTCCTACCCAAATGATTTCTTCATTTTCTGAAACAACTATGTCCCTAGTGTTCCAGAAAAATTTTCCCCGCCGATCGGAGTTGAGCAAAATTTTTTACAGCACTTTGAACTTTTGACCCCCTAGGCCAACATAATGAAAATGAAAACCATTTATAACTTCAAAAATATCAATTTTACAGCCTAGAAATGTATTATCAACATATAGGAAAGTGATACCAAGGAATCCAGAAATGACGCCAAAAGTAACGCGCGACGTCACCGTGACGCCAGAATACAAAATGGCGGAACTATTACGTCACTGTGACGTCAGAATTCTTTTCTCCTTTGTCAAATATACGCAAGTTGTAATTTCTTATTCTAACTAGCCACTCTGCTTATTCTGACTTGTATCCAACCCTGAAGCTGGTCTGACTTGTATCCAGCCCTGAAGCTGGCCGTGGATCAAACTGAAAGTAGTTTTACGCACGAGGCACGTTTACGACTTCTCAACAAATTGCTGGTTCATCGTCGAGGTCATTAATGGCTCAGACATTGCTTCCGACCGTTGACAGAGTTTGTATCGAATGCGGGGAAGGTGTGAAAAATGGACATTTGACCAAAGTCGGCAAAACTGGACGAGAAACGTTGATGAAATCATGCGAGGCTCATGTGCATGAAAACTTGAAATGGAAATTCCAACAGGTAGATTTATGCTATATTCATGAATATTGTCGTAGAAATATCAATGAGAATTATCGCAAACGGGCGAATGATGCCGGATGTTCGGGTGATGATGATACCGCGAAGAAATTACGATCGAGTTTGTCCACGTTTGATTGGAATATACACTGCCTATTCTGCTCAGCCCCAGCCATACAAGACACAAAAAACCCAAATCGCGACCCCATCGTGATTGTGCGAACCCTGGAATTGAAGCAATCACTTCTTAGAGACTGTGATGCAAAAGCCCATCGATGGACCGAGGATGTTAAACCGCGATTATTGTCATGCAATGATTTAGTTTCTCCAAACAGCCGCTATCATAAGCGATGCTACCATGAATTTAAATTGTCAGAAATCCCCGTTTCAGACGTACCCGGACGTCCAGTTAATAAAACCCATGCTGTTAATTTTGAGCTATTATGTGATTGGTTGGAAAAAGAAGTTGAACCTTACTCACTTACAGAACTCTATGAAAAAATGATTGATTTGAGTGGTGATCCTGACAACGTATGTTCTGAAAAGTGGATGAGAGAAAGGCTAAAACAACGGTACGGGGATCATATATTCTTCGCTCAAGCATGTGGGACGAGAAAAGACGTTGTGTGTTTTAAAAATATGGCGGGTTACATAGTTAACCAGTCATGGTGTGAAAATCAAGAAAATGATGTAGAGTCTGAATCACGTAGAATCATGAAAACGGCTGCGCGACTCATCAAAGCAGAGATAAAGGAACGACATTATGAAAAAGAAACTTATCCTAACCAAAACGATGTTAAAGATGTTGACACTTGTCAATCGTTTCTAGTGAACAGTATGCGTGTATTTTTGAAAGAGCTGATTGGAGAGACCCTGAAATCTGCGGCAATCGGCCAAGCCCTAACTCAAGCCACTAGGCCTTGGTCGGTGATTGCTCCATTGCTGTTTGGTCTTGGTCTTGAAACAGATCATATGATCGGTTCAAAGTGGATGATAGAAGAACTATGGTCATTGGGGTTTTGCACATCGTATGATGAGATTCAACTTTTCAAAAACTCGCTGGTGCAAGATGCTGATATCAATAACTTTTCAATAGAAAAGTCAACACCTGTTAGTTTTGTTGCTGACAACGCTGACGCCAATATTAAAACCATAGATGGTAAAGGGACATTTCACGGCCTTGCTATTATATGCGCCACAAAACAGAGGCTAAAACGATATGATAACAAGTCAGTTCGACGACGTGCCAGGGTAAAAGTTTCCGAGATCACAGAAAATAGAGGTATACACATTTTGAATTACGTACAACTAGGACCACCTGCACTAAGTGGGGTCAAATTGAAACCATTAGTTCAGCTGCAAGTCCCTTATGTCGAGATGCCGTGGATTTATTATTCCAACATCATTTGGTCTTCAACTTTGTTCATTCGTTGTCGGGAATCAAATGAATCGTGGTTAAATTGGTCTGGTTTTATGACTTACATATTCAAAGGTACTGATGAAACTGACCTTGATAGCATTGCAATCTTACCGTTGATAGACTTGAACCCCAGCGATGAAACAACACTATTCTCCTGCCTCAGTTACATATCCAAAGAGGTGAGCAAGTCGGCCGTCGATTCTACTTCTGTTACATTTGACCAACCGTTATATATCAAGGCGGTCGAAATCACTTTATCCAAATGCATCAATAATGTTTGTGTTAGAATGGGCCAATTCCATATGCTAATGAGTGCAATTGGAAGTTTGTTCCATTTTATGAAAGGTTCGGGTGTGGAAGATGCCTTGAAGGTAGTATATGCAGAAAACAGCATACCACAGATTATAAGTGGGAAAGCAATAGCTAGAGCGATCCGGGCTCTCCATTTGTTGGACGCCGCATTATCCTACAAATTGATATCAATGATGGAACCAATCTTTTCCGAAGAAGAGCTCCTAGAATTCACAAAAAAATGCCTTATGCTCGAGGAATGTAAACTTGAAGACATTGTAGATGCCATCCACCGATGTGGTTTGGACGTCAAACTATCTTTGCTGAAAGACAACTTGAAAAGTAAGTCTAGAACTTGTAAACTATGGATAAACTTTTTAGAGCAAATCAAAACTGTTGAATATTTCATAGCTTGTGACAGACTTAAATTTTGGGATGGGCATCTCAACATCACGAATGAACTTCTTCCATTGTTCGCTGCAGCGGGACATGGGCATTATGCCAAGTCTGCTCGACTATATCTGCAGCAAATGCGTGAACTTCCCCACACTCATCCAAATTTACATGAACTCTACGCGCAAAAAGGTATGCATGTAATACAACGGTCGGGTCATCCGTTCAATGGCTTACCAAACGATCTCTGTATTGAACAAACCGCCATGCGATCGATGAAAATTCGCAGTGGACTGACTCATGGTCGCGGGTTCACTGAAAGTGTGAGACAACAATTCGTCTATTGTAAACCTTTTATAATCGCGATGCACATGGCCATGTCAAATTTGACCGGTAAAGACCTACACACATCTGAACAGCATGTTGAATGTGGTATTTCGCGTCGAGGAACAGACACCGATCATCTAATTAAATTGATCGATTGGTTTGATACAAACAATCCGTTCGATTGCGAAGTCTCCGACTTGCGGTCACTCTCGACTGGGTTGACGTCCAAATCCGGTGACGGGATAAATTGTGATGACGCCGTAACTATCGGATACAAGATCCAAGAATCTCTTAACAACGTTATTTTTTCGGAAGCAAAGATCAGACGATCTAGTGTCGTGAAGACTCTGGATGACCTGAAGCCAGGTGTTAAAGTTCAAGGCAAGACAGTGCGAGTGCAACCAGAAGTTCTTTTTCAAAGATGTATTACGGTGGCACAGCGGACAGATACAGATATTCAACAGTTCTTCAAATATGAGTTGAGTGCCTTCCCGTCCTCACTGTTTGCAGGAGCTTTCATGCGACATGTAACCAAGTCCGATCTCGCTCAGCATTTGCTCAAGAACGTTTCACCCGTTTCGAACACTTCGCTCACCAGTGAAATAACTGTCATTGATGGAGGTCTGCTAATTAATTTTGTAAGGTGGAATAAGGGTACGAATATCTCCAACATCTTAGAAAACTATCGGTCATTTGTAAAAAGATTTCCCTCGCCAATCGTCGTGTTCGACGGCTATGAACCAAATATTAAGGATCATGAGCACGAGCGCCGAGCTGCTACGTCTAAATATAGGAGCAGTGACATTTCTCTGAAATCGGACACCACAGTTATCTATAGTCAAGCCCAGTTTCTGGCCAACACTGAAAACAAAATCCGTCTAATCAATCAGGTAGTCAACGATCTTGAATCCCATGGAGTCCCGACAAAATGGTGCAATGGTGATGCAGATGTCACTATTACTAAGACGTGTATTGACTACGCTAGAAATTGTCAACCTGTTACGGTAGTTGCCAATGACACAGATATTTTGGTCTTATTACTGCACCACGCGAAAGCAGAAATGGCGACAATTCATCTTCGCCACTTGGACAAAAAGCGGAACACCTATGACATAAAATCAGTCTGCAGCGCAATGGATAAAACTGTATTAGACAATTTATTGTTCATTCACGCCTGGTCTGGGTGTGATACCACTTCTGGTTGTTTCGGATTCGGTAAATTGGGACTTCTTAAACATACGAACAGTGACATCTTTCGAGAAGCTAGCAAGACAATAGCTTCACCTGGAAGTTCCCAGTCCGAAGTATCTGAAGCTGGAGAAAGGTTATTCTGTGTAATGTATGGTCACAAAAATGAGATATCTCTGACTAAAGTCCGGTACCTAAGTTACAAAGCTATGATCGCTGAAAAAATTTCCATTCAAATCAATAGACTTCCTCCAACAGCTGCCGCGGCCGAGCAGCATGCTCACCGCGTTCATGTTCAGGTTAGAATTTGGGATGAACTAGACGATGGCGTCGATCCTGTGAATTGGGGTTGGCAAGTGATAGAGCATAGATACGTTCCCATCGCGACGATTCTTCCATCAGCACCAGACAACGTTCTGAATTTCATCCGGTGTAAATGTAAATCGTTGAAAAACCAATGCTCGTCATGTTCTTGTATTCAGAATGGTTTGAAATGTGTTGAAGCGTGTGGAGGATGCCACGGGGAGGGTTGTCTGAATAGCGAACAAATCAGCATTGATTTAGAAGATGAATTTGGCACGGGGTAGAACAAATCAGAACTGAAGAATATTTTGATGATTTTATTGATGATGATCCGAATGAATATTTTATGATGTCCAGAATGTTCCTCTTGTCTATCTGTTTGCTGTTGTTGCTTTATTCACAACACGTCTCCGCCATTTTGAATTTTGGACATCAAAGTGACGTCATAGTTCCGCCATTTTGTATTCTGGCGTCACGGTGACGTCGTACGTTATTTTTGACGCCATTTCTGGATTCCTTGGTATCACTTTCCTATATGTTGATAATACATTTCTAGGCTGTAAAATTGATATTTTTGAAGTAATAAATGGTTTTCAGTTTCATTATGTTGACCCAGGGGGTCAAAATTTCAATATGGTGTAAAAAATTTTGCTCAACTCCGATCGGCGGGGAAAATTTTTCTGGAACACTAGGGACATAGTTGTTTCAGAAAATGAAGAAATCATTTGGGTAGGAATTTCTTCCCACAAATTTTCTATCCCGACCAGACTAATAGCCCGTGGAGGACACACGCGCTACTGACATCTGTGTCGTACTTTTGGTTTTGACCCCTCTGACTTTGTAAGGTTGATTACAGATTAAACATCCATAAGTGTACAAATGTGTTGTTATTGATGTGTTCCCATTTGAATATTGTTCACAATAAGAAGCAAAATAAATAAGATATGTTTACAGGATCATTTTGTTATACGAAAAACTAAGTGATGCGTTTTCCATGGCGCTCAGTATACATTCGTATTACGTCGATTTCCCAAAGAATAGTCATACGCCCTTTAACAGAAGGGGACATCTAGTGTTAATTGTTAGTTGTCAAATTCAAAACGCTACAGCCACTTTACATGTGCGCCAATATACGCATACGGTTTTTCGTCCCATTTGAACGACTACAGACACACTTTACATATCAGCCCAGAGACTCGGGCTTGAAAAATCACGAATCGGGTTCTTCTGAAACAGGCGAAATATTTTAGGCGAGCAAATGCTAATAACTTGTCCTAAATTTATAAGATTGACCCAGGTTTAGCTATTACTATTTTGAAAAATCTTCGACCTTGGCTTTAATTCAGTCTGATTTGCAATTTACAAGTCATGGCTTATAAAATAAATTTATAGTTTTCCACGACATCGGAAACATTACTATATAATTGATCTTATTTTCATACTTAGTCGGTCTTTTAATATTTTGGCTCGCTAGCCTGGAGGTCGGGTGTTAGATCCCTGCATTGGCCGAGAAAGTTCATCCAGATTTTCCGGCGTTGTTCCCCCTTGTCAGTGATGCAGGACGGGGGCCTGACAAGTAGGCCTACAATGTCTAATCGTTCGGATGGGACGAAAAACCGAGGTTCCATGTACACATTGGCGTGCACGTAAAAGATCTCTTGACAGTTGGAATTCGATATAAGAGTAGGCCGTAGTGCAAAATTTCCCTCATAGCCCACTGTATTGCGTATGTCCGTCTTCATTAGCCCAGTTTGGACCAGAAGGACGTTAAACCCCATTTCATTTCATTTCTGGTGATTTGGCCACACATATTAAATTTTAATATGGAAAGTGTTAAATTATAGTAGCCCAAGGCGGAATTGTGAATATATTTTTCCGTGACTAACGTCTTTTATCCGAAATACTTTCCATAAACTAAACGTTAAAATTATGAATCGTGGATTAATGACTCCGTGTTTTATTTTATTAAGCCCACATCTCCCAGCAAGTTTGTGGAAATTTCTCGATAGACGTTGTAAGGGAGAAAACTCCTGTTTACACGCACTGGAATTTTTCTTTCTGACGTCATAACATGGCAGCGGCCATTGCTTGATTGTAGCAACATATTTTTTCGGACCACTTTGGTAAGTTATGGCAACCTTGAAAGTGCCAAATTTGTGCTAATGAAACTCTTTGGTAAGGATTATAAATAAAGTAATACTTTTCAGTGAACTATCTATAACTGTGTTCACGGGTTTTGTTCGTAATCGTAGTTCCATTTTGCTAATGAACTTCATCATGCCCGATTGACGAGTTTCAGTTTGCAATGGCAATGCTGACTGAAAGAAATAACTGTGTCATCGCGTGCCCGTTTTTGGAAGAAGCACGTGGTAACTTGGTAACCCGATATCAAACATGGTGTATATATCGTAATCTACATTTATTGGATTACTGTGTCATAATTAATCTGCTAATAATTATATGTAATTCCTTTACATTGTTGATCACCCTCCCTTTGAACTAATTTTCCACTGCTTTTACTGTAGACTATAGACATGTATGGGCATATATAGTAGCCCAGAAATCTGAATGAATTATTATAGCAGTAGGAATAGGCCCCTATTACTTCAGGTTACTCTTAGTTATACACAGGTGTAAGTCTTAGGGTATCAAATAACTGTAAATTCTTCAACAGACAGAAGATGTCATTATTAGACGCAGTGAGAAAAATAGGTGGAGTGTTCTGGGTAGGAATAAATTACAGAATAGAATGGTGCACACATGTACTTTTTGTCTACATGTACTATGTATTCAGAAATTTGGCACATGATGATGGTGTTCACACATCACAAGTTTTAGTGTATTAGATTTAGAAAGTGATAGAATATGGGCATGGCATTTGGAGCTTTATTAACTGTGTGAATTTATGTGATAGATAAAATGGTAAAATGTGAATGCAATTATGGGATCAGCAGTTTCAACATTTTTAACAATCACTGGTTGTAGAGAAGTTAGTAAGGTCTTGTTTGTGTGAATTTCTATTCAAATTTTTAGATGCACTATACTACTACTACTACATGGTTTTAATTTCATAGCATACACTGTTAGGGTGCGGGTGCTACACACTGAAAAATATATCAAACAATTGATAATTATATATATAGCCCAATGTTTATACAATGCCCCAACATAATTCCCCCTCATTAATGATCAAAGAATGTCCCTTCGTACTGTATTTTTTTCAAAGAAAGCATTTGAATAACCGTTAAAATAGACTGTTTACATTAATGTTGCACAGCATGATGTTCAGAATTTTTCTGTGTCATTGGTTTTGCGTGCCCTTGTTTGGAAATTACTAAAATTTGTCAAGCTAAACCAGCCTTCTAACCATTCATCGACTGATTAACAGTCTTGGGTTACGAAGATAATTTTCATACAAAACATTCTAGACAGGTACATAATTCAGAAGATAGCAAGTTGGCAAGTTAACAAATGTTTTAAGATGCATGCATGTCTAGTTTTCTATTCTTGCCAACCATGGAGATATAAATTCTACTTAATCGAAAGATGTCGCTTAAAAGCACAAAAAAAAAATACTAACAGTAACAGACATATAAATGTACATGTAAATTTACATACCAGTAAATGTTTAGTTGTTTTAAGTCGGGGCCCCTCCACCCCTACACTTACTTATATTATACAATACACATAAATGATAGAGTGGTCCATGGATGCTTAGGTGTTCATTCAAGTAAATGTGATCATCTCAAGAGCTAAATTATATATAAACAGAGCTATTTTGAAGATAGTGAATAAATTCTACATTTTGAATATCACATTCAGTTAGTTTACCAACTACTTCAATAGCTTTCTATTCTATGGTATTCTCATCATATATAAAACAATGATTTGGTAGTCTGAAATGCATATTTGCGGAAATCGAAATATATTCAATTATTTCAATCATAAAAGTTGTGTTTCATATAATATTCCAATGAATTACAAAGTAGGACTAGCCTGGTTAACTTTTACTATGTATAGTCTTGTACCACCAGTGATAAAACTCCACAATGGCAACAATCAAAAACTTCAGCCAATTATTTAGGAGATTGAAATAATGTAATTATTTATGTTGAGAGGCGTGTAGTATGTATGGTTGTAAAAATATACATGTATGCTTACTATTTAGGTTGTGCCAGTTTTTACAAATTTAAGCTGTAGTAATATCAGATTCAACGGTACCCAAATATCAAAGTTTGTCCGCTCAATAGTCTACATTTATGTAACTACTTCTATTACAGAAAGCAAGTGAAAGTGAGAGCGAGGACTTGACAGTTTGTAAATACAAAAACGATTCTAACGAAAACTGTAAATTAATCGAAAGTACAACAAGTAGCAGTGTTGATCAACAGCAAGTTCACATAAACGAGTTAGAAGAACAAGGTTTGTTAGAAAACCAGTTAGAGAAACCATTAACACTTGAATTACCCATACTTACAATCATAGACCCACCTTATTTGGTAGATAATACTACCATTGAGGAGTCAACAATTTCCATGGCAACAGAAGCTGAAACTCTCATTCCTGTTCAGGAGTTACCAGTGAGTCAAGAAGTAGCTATTTTGGATAACTCTGTTGATATTAAGGTAAATTTACATTTGATTATAATTGATTAAAAATCTAATTTAATTGGAAACACATTGGTCGTAAATTGCATAATTGATGATCAGCAAAGAAAAAAAATTGTAAACAAAAGTTTTCTCTTGTTTTTTGTGTTTAATAATATGTTTTAATTTGCCCACATTGTGGCTAGATACAAAAGAATAAATATATGTGATAACCTTTGGAGATTCCTCAGACAACTTGGCTGTTGTGGGTGTATGTTTCATTGTCTGGTATCCTATCTTTTTGATATGTTTTAATTCCTTAAAGTAGCTAAGTCTCTAACTCAATATCATCCAAAGTCTTACACGTTAAAAATACAAATTATTTGTCAATTCAAATCAACATTGATGTTGTGATCTTACCAGGAAAAGACAGGCTTCACCATTGGTACACGAATCGTGTACCATAGTGCGTTTTAGCGTCATTTGCAACAAGTGACCAGAAAGAACGAGGCTAGACATATTCAACTGGAGACCCTGCTCAATAGACTGGAATAACCAGACGCTAGAAATTGCTGTAGGGTTGAGACACATGCCGTATTTCGCTGGACATAACTGATTTGAAATAAAGAGCCCAAACGGAAACAATTGAATGTAAATCAGTTTATATACAATCAGATTACATTATTATATGCGTTGCTACCCATTTGGGTCAATTTCTAGGTCCAAAATAATATTAGCGATTTAGCTCCTTTAAATGTAATTGTGAGAGAACTTATAGAAGAAGGAAATTTGTTAAGCTAAATCAGTATATATATTTGTTTGTATTACCTGATGACTAAGTTATACTAACTATAAATATAATGAGATAAACAGGTTTTTCATACCTTTGTAGTCTATCATACTTTCAAAGAAAGACACAGGGTTAAGACCAAAGGATTTAAGCTGTTATAAATTACTACAAACTGATATCAACACTCCCTATTGAAATGTTGTAAAACCTGTTTGGGTTTACTGCATCTAGGAACTGCTTAATTATTAGCTTGATATCTTGTGACCAACTGCTTTTGAGGATTCTAAGATAGTGTGTTACAAATTCTTCTCATAAGGTAGAGAGACATGTTTTTGAGGATGTTAAGATAGTGTGTTACAGATTCTTCTCAAAAGGTAGAGAGACATGTTTTTTATGCTTTCATAGAATTAATATGGCTGTATTTTTTTAAATGTATAAAATGTTTTCAATTTTAGGAAACAGAAGCCCCACTTAGTCTTCCAGAAACCACTAATATTGAAGATATTATTAATGATTTGAGTGGTGATTCAGAGGAACAAGATAACAAAATGGCTCCAACAATTGACAATGGTTTAGCTGTAAATGAGAACGATAAATCAGCCCAGAAAACAGATGAAAACCAGAAAGTAAAATCTGGTTCTGTTTTAAAAAGTAAAAGGAAAGAAGATAAAGGTATTGGTAAGCATTTCAATCTAGATGTTCTCATAGAAAAGGGAGAGTGTTTAATGCATGCCAAGGTTTAGTATTAACAACTTTTTTAAGTCTCCTTTAATGCATGGAAATTGCATGGAATATTGTAGACTGTATGTATACAGTCAGTGTGAGCGCTAGCCGATTGCCACTTCACCAGTGGCAATTTTCCATCATCTGTGGCAATGATTATTGTTAAAAAGTTACCACTTTGGCAAAAAGACCTATGTGGTCCTGTTGGTTTATTGTTTCTCCTGCGTGCGCTTGCCTTTTACAAACAAACAACCAAGAAACCCATTAAAAATTGCTAAAATAATGTTATACGAAAGCATATAGACAGGTGCATTAGTAATCATATTTTTCATTATTATTCATGTATTGTCCAATCATGTCTGATGTACCGGTACTGAATTATGCACGATTTACAAAATGGCTAGAGATGTTGCATTCTTCAATACTTTTCGCTTCAGCAACTAATCTATCACTCCTATTTATCCACGTCACAGTACACAATTCTCTTAAATTGTTTTGGTCCTTATTTAGATCCATATAAATATCGTGATGATAAACAGTTTTATATCTTTGACATCGGTATGACTAGAAATTCGCACAAATTCCGAATCTGCTTTGGCTGTCAGCGACTAGACGATTCATAACACACATTCATGTGGGTTCTTCCATGTAAAACAGGTAGCCAAATCCAATACTTTAAATTTAAAATAAAGACATTGAGAAATGTGTTGATTTCAGATTCTAAAATGTTCGTAATTGAATAACGAAACACGACGTTGATTCGCACCTATTACCTCTGACACTCATTCTGTTATTAACAGAATTATTATCACAATTATTATCACATTCCCACTATTAGGCCTACGCTAAAAATATATTTATAAAATTCTCTATTGACAAATTTAATTAATTTTGTTAAATTTTCCAGTACATTATAAATAAACTTTATTTTTCGAAAACGTTATTTTTTTTTAATGTTGAAATACACAATACAAAAAGTTTTGCACCTTTCAATTCAAGCCACAATATTTATTGTCGTGCCGTTAGTAAAATAGGTCACATTAATGTGACAGGATAGGTGTCTAATTCATTTAGATATTGGGGGGGTTGGATGGCTGAATGGTTAGCGTGCGCGCGCTGTATCATAAAGTCTGTCATTGAATCGACTGGCGTGGTTTCGAATCACCGGTTGTACGTGGCAAGGAGTAAGGTCGCCTGTCCAACCTCGTGGGTTTTCTCAGGGTCCTCTGGTTTCCTCCCACTGCTAAAGACCCCTACGCGCTAGCGAATTATGTAAATAAAATTAAAAAAACCATATGTTAGTCCCGAAATGACTTAGTTTGTGTCGAGTGGATGTTAAATCCCATTTCTCTCTCTCTCTCTCTCATTTAGATATTATGTGTACATACTAAATACTTCATAATGCTATACACTAGAGTTAAACAAATGAAAATAAATAAATGAAAATAAACCTAGGCCTAAATATAGGTTGTTATAAAATTGACTGTGAATTAACTCAATCAAAGTATGGTTATTTCATATTTTAATAACTTTATCTTTGTCTTTTACATGTACCTTCACAGTAAAGGGTTATTTTGACTAATTAAGATTATAAGTAAAAAGTACACCAACCTCGGACATGATAGTATTATTATAGCATGGTAGAACATTTTGTGTGGCAGAGAAACAGGGAAACAATTTAATATAGCACTTGTATAAATATCACATACGCCTTCAAATTTCTGCTCGATGTTTTGTATACGTTATTAGCACTTGCTGCTAGCTTGAAAATTCTACATCCATAAACATGCATTATGCAAGAGGTAAATCTGAAATGTTATGTAAACTATTAATTAGTATTTCTATAGATTGGAGGCCAGTCTAGGAATATTGTAATGATTTCAATACACTGAGACTATAACATGGTTCACCATATAAAGTGGGGTTTGTGGCCTGTTATGCCCTTGCTCATAAAATATTGGGAACTCCAGGGGTCGACTGATTGACCCTGAAACCAAAGTGTAATATAGTGACATGTCTAATGGTGGACATACCATAAAACAGTTTAAATGTAAATGTTTATTGAATTAAAGATGCATGTTTTAAATAAATAATTAAGCTTTAAATATTTGAATTGAATACTGACATAATATTTTCTTTCCAGATCATATTCTACGTGCCTTAAGTAGCTTGGATACTACAGAAGAAAAACTTGCAGCTCTGTGTAAAAAATATGCTGATATACATGAAGAACATCGGGTATTACAGGTCTCTTTTAAACAAGCACAGAGACGTATGGCTGTGGTATGTATATTTATTATGATTAAATGAACCTGAGCAATTTAATAATTATTACATATAAACACAGAAATGACAATTCTGTGCTAGACAAATGACATACTCTAGAGAGATTGTGCCTGACAGCCTGGATTTGTGCCTGACAGCCTGGATTTGTGCCTGACAATATCTGTGATGGGTACCTTATTGAAAATTACCGAAAAACAACGAAGATTGTATAAAATGCTATAGAAATGTCTATTAAGCTTTCACATGTATTTTTTCATTGTATTGTCAGATAAGTCGAGAAAAAGATCAAATTCAATCTGAACATACTAAGGCAGTTATGGGTAAAAGTAAACTAGAGAGTCTGTGTCGAGAATTACAGAAACACAATAAAATTATCAAGGTTAGTATTTAGAAAAGAAGCCAAAGTTTATACATAATATGCAAAAAATGAAGTAAACCAACTATTTTTAAGTTAATGAATAATATACACTTTCAAATTTCCCTCAGAGGACACTATATGGCGTATGCCTGTCTTTATTAGCCCAGTTCGAGCAGGACAGTAGGACATTAAACCCCATTTCATTTCATTTCATTATGGTAAGCCAAATTTGCTGAATAGAAATGGGAACAAGTTATGGGATGTTGGATTTAGTCAAAAGTTAATTGGAATTTGAAATATATTGTAGCTTGTTAATATTATATTGTAAACAGGAATTCATACAAGTTCCATGATAAATGCTGTTTTATTACAGGAAGAAAGTATACAGCGTGCTAAAGAAGAAGACGAAAAAAGAAAAGAAATTTCTGCTAAATTTCAGGTATTGTTCTGGATAATTATTTTGATAAATTGTCCTTAAATGCATTATCGCACATCTTATCTAGTCTCGGACACCTAGAGCGTTCGAGTCTTCAACGTAGGGAGAGCCTGGGTCAGTCGTCCACATTTAACAAAATTTTACTTGATAATCAGCCACATAAAAAAACAAACTCCCAGTTAAGCATGGGCAATTGAACTTTTTAGCTAAGGTCAAGAAAGAGTAGCGTCCTTACCCGAAATAAATCCTATAATTCATGCATTATTATAAACAAACATGACATAGGATTAATAAAAACCATAGATCCGATCCTCGAGAGAAATTTTGGAGTGTTGGATATTGATTAGGCAATGCAAATCGATTTGTCTGAAATGGCAATTCTTAAGTTAATTTCAGGGGTGTCGTCATCTTGTTCTAGGGCTATCCCTTATTACACTCTGACTGATAAAGTAGATTTTATATAAGCACTATTCATCTTGTTGTTCTTGGGGACTTTTTTATATGATATTAATGTATGTCACTGCCATTTCAAACATGATCAACATAAAACTTGATGTGCTTGTTCCTTGGACAGTTATACAATGAATACTCTAGTCTTGATCCAACTAACCCAAATTTGGGGCCACGGTGGCTAAGTGAGTAAGACATTAGCTCGCTAACCTGGAGATCCTGTGTTCGATCCCTGTATTGGCCTCAAAGGTTCATCTGGATTTTCCTGCGTGGTTCCCCCTTGTGCAAGACAGAGAGCCTGACAAGGGACAATGTATAGTCGTTTGGATGGTACGAAAAACTGAGGTCCAGTGTATACATTAGTGATCCTTTTCAGTTGGAATTTGATGTAAGAGTAGGGCCATAGTGTCACTGTCTGGACAAAATTTCCCTCATAGGATACTGTATGGCGTATACCAGTCTTCATTAGCCCAGTCGGAGCAGAATAATAGGACGTTAATTCCCATTTCATTTCATTTCTAACCCAAATTGTCAATGGTCTATGTATTTTATAGAGATTCAGTACATTTTATGGTGGGTTGAGAGGAAGAAATGACCCTCACCGCGCATTGGTAGTGTGCACGGAATGGTATTTTATTATAATTTGTTCTTTATATTTCAGACAACCATTGGAGAAATTCAGCAACAAATGCAAGATAACCATGACAGAAATTCTAAACTTCGTGAAGAAAATGCAGATTTAGCAGGAAAACTGAAAGGTTTTATTGAAAAATATGAAATCCGGGAAGAGGTAAGATAAATAATTTACAGTAGAATCTGTCACTTCTGACATACAGGATCGTTGAATATGCCGTATTATACATCATGACGGAATACTCAATACTGGATCAATGTCCTTTCTATGACTGATTTCGGAAAATATCGACACAAGTCCATAATGTGAACTTTATTAATTAATAATATTACCAGCAGATAAGTTCCCATTAGATAGTTTTATTTTTAACTACAGTTTTAGAAATGGCGGGAGAATGTCACATGAGTGCCACTGATGACAGACAGGTCAGGAAGCTTTCGCATTATCGCACGAACCATTCTGACACCTATTATATAGACATACAGGTGCCGATCTTATTAGTGAATTCTATCGTAATTAACACTTAAAATATGAAAATCTCAACTTTATTAATTGATGATACAGCAAATAATTAACTTCATAATAGATGGTGTGTATTTTTGATTGCATAGGAAGTGTGACCCTACAATTACTTCAAAAACACTGTGTTCATGTTTGATCCCCAAGGTAAATAGTACGATGCACTTCCCGACTAACAATGACATATATCTACCGTGGACTCTGTCAGTTCCAACATCGTATGGGATCAATACAATATGCTGGATTAGACAGCGTTTCGGAATACTCAATTGGACCAGAAGTATTATTGTACCTTCGAATACCAGAAGTTTTATTTTAATGCATCCTCGAATACCCAGAACTTAAAATATGATAACGCTTTCTGTAAATTTCATTACATTATATCAAACAATTGCATAACAAGAAACAATAACATAACAATTTACTTTGAATATATATAATCATCTAAAGTTGACTAAATAGCACTTGTCATCCAAGCCGACAAGTTCACTGACAGGTTGTGTTTGTCCACGCCCTTAAACATCTCTGTTTGAATTCATCTTTTCGCTTTAAAAATGTTGGATACTGTAGTATGGCCAATTGAATACTTAACGGCGAATTTCTTCTGTGTAGGTTGTGGAACTTTCTCAAAATCTGCTATATTTTGCTGCTTGACATTATACAATGTCAAATCCGTATGTGCACGCTTTGCAGGATGATGACACATTATGAACACATTGTAATTGATTGGTGATTGCTTGTCGGTTACCACCCACTGATTGAAGGCCGGATTATCCAATGTTAATTGTACCCAAATCTTGTGACTGGACCGCTGATTGATGTCGGATTACTCAAAACTTTTTTGGTTGAAGTAATAAGGAAATAAATCGGGACATGAAAATGATGACAGATTTCACAGAATGCTGTAGTATTCAGATGTCGGAAGTGACAGAGTCCACTGTACGTCGATTATTATGACATTCGAGGTTACCCAGTGTACTCATTCCGTTCTACTCCACTATACCCTGGGTTAATCCATAGGGTTTCCACGATTTCAAATTATCTGCCCTGGCCTAGAATGTAGCTGCAGTCTACGAACCAATCAGAAAACAGTTTACAAACCAATCGTTTCGCCTTCGTTTTTATAAGGGTAGATAACCATATTCATGTCCATTTACTGAATGATTTATGTAAATAATGTATATATTTATAATTTATTTATATTTAATTGTATTATCAAAATTTGTAGTATGTCTTGTTGATTTCAAATATGTATAACATCTATATGTTTGACTCTTGTTATTATTATTACTATTCGTTCTTTGTCTGAAATATGTCATTCTGTTATATTTATTATTATTGAACTTATACTTGGCAATTTGATTCACAATAACTTGTCTACGATATCTCGTGGACATAAAATTCTCGGAACGAACGAGCGATTCTAAATAAAACAAATGACCCGACATTGTTATATGATTGTTATATGAACGGCTGGTCTTCATTAACATAATATATAATTGGTTGTTAATAATTACGCATATAGAATAGGCCAACTCCTAACATTGTCCGATGACAGTTACTTACCTTTGCCAACTTCCTTTTCAAATAACAATTTATGGGATTGGTCGATAAAAATAGCACAATCATCAAGGGCGGATAACTTGAAAACGTGTCTCCCCCATAGATTAACCCAGGGTATAGTGGAGTAGAACGGAATGAGTACACTGGGTAACCGAGGATGATCCAATATCTGATATCGGTAAAACTGATAGGTGCAATATCAGATCATCATTAATTGCATTAAGAACGAAAAAAATCGGAACTTGAAAATGATGACAGATTTCACAAAATGCTGTAGTATTCGGAAGCTGAATGCGATAGTTTCTACTGTAATTATAATTGGCCGTTTAACTGTCTACATGAGCCAGTAGTACTGTTTGTGGTACTGTAATCAATTAACAACCAGTTAGTTCTGTAGAATCTCAGGGCATATTACAACTTAGTTAAGTCATGCAGTACCAGAAAATAATATTGTCTTTGGATGGAATAAAAGGCTATGGTTTCTTGAGTGTTTGTGGTACTTGTAATCAACAACTTCTAGGACATAGCTAGCATGTAAATTTCATTTACGACTCCAAACTTGAGAGTGGCCTTGGTTATCACCTTTAACCCTATAAATTTTGTATGTTTTCATGTTCAGCTTGGAGCTCATAAAAATTTATCTTAAATAAAAGTATATACAAATTGTTTGGTCAATAATTTCAGCAATTAGAGAAGTTAATGAAACATAGAGAGGTAGAACAACAATTGGCTGATGCTAAACTACAACAAGCTAATCTTATACTAAAACAAGAACAGGAACGAGGATCAAAAGAAAAGGAACTTGTAAGTTTTATTATCTGTAAAAGAAGAAATTAATGAGTTAAATGTGACTCTTATCATCAACCCCATTAATTTCAATATGCACTTAAGTTCTGTTACATCTTTAATCTGCAGATTCATAAAACTTGATACCAGCCAAAACGTTATGAAAGTCAACGTTGATTAACACTGTTAATCAGCGTCATTGATATAATAATGTTTAAATATCTAGTAAACTTACAAGAAGCCATGGATTTGTATTTTTACAAACCATAGCATGTGGTAGCTTGAATTCATTTTGTGCGCATTCATTTTCATAATGCAATGCATTTTTCAGCCATATACCCATACATGCAGACGCTATTTATTAAAAAAAGAAAGGGTTAGATGTCATCTTCATCTAAAGCGTCAATTGTTTAACAGTAGTAGTCCTCCCTGGCCAGTAAATCCTTGTTTCGACTATTTTTACTTTCCTTTTATTCAGTCTCTTATGTTGAAATCATTTGTCTATGAAACTATGTTAAGCAGAACAAGTCCTTGTGGTAAAACAACAAAATATCAGTAGGGCACATTGTTAAATATGCATAATTATATTAACCCACCACAATAGTATTAAATTGTTTGCTTTACAGTTACTTACTCAAACCGAAGAATCTGTGAAAAAAGCCAGCATTTTAGAAGCTCAGGTATGGTTAGCAATTGTAATATAAAACCATGCAAAAATAACTAATCTGGTTCTCAGACAATTCTTCCTAAAAATCTGATGCAAGAAGGTGGTTTTGGTTTTTATGTGGACTTGTGTTGTTGTCACCCCTGTCCGTCCGTCCGTCCACAATTTGTTTGTGGACACACTACAAGTCACAATTTTTATCCGATTTTGACGAGACTTGAAATATAGGTCTATCTCCCCAAGATCTCGGTTCCTTTCGATATTGGCATTAGCGGACCATAATTTCATGGATTTCATGGATTATGACCCCTGATTGTACAAAAAATCACATTTTTAGCTTGTGGCCACTCTAGAGGTAAGAATTTTGATCCGATTTTGATGAAACTGAAATGCATGTTTATAACCTAAAGCTCTTGGTTCCTTTCGATATTCGCGCACATCGGGTCGTAACTTCCTGAATTATGGCCCCTGATTGTACGAAAAATCGCGTTTTGATCTTGTGGTTCCTATAGAGGTGACAATTTTTATCTGATTTAAAAAAAAAATGTGTGAATATATCACAGTTATACACTAATGATGGTTGAGTTAGAATTTAGTGAAAATCCGACAAAAACTAACAGACAGAATGGCCGCCCATTGTACGGACATAATGGCCGCTCTTTGTGCGGACAAAATGGACGCCCCTTGTACGCAAATAATCTAAAAATATGGTATATCAAGGTTGTGGACCCTCTAGAGGCCACAGTTTTTATCCGCTTTGGGTGAAATATATGATTTTATCACACATATCCAACCGTAACTTCCTGGATTATGACCCCTGATTGGTCGAAAAATCGCATTTTTAGCTTGTGGATTCACTAGAGGTCACAATTTTTTTTTCAGATTTTAAAAAACGTTTAGATATACTATTCCACCATAATGAAGGTTGAATTGGAATTTATGGAAAATCGAAATGAAACTGCTCGGCAAAATGGCCTCTCTTTGTCCCTTTTGATATTTGCGCATTGCAGACCATAACTTTCTGGATTATGGCCACTGATTGTACAAAAAATCGTTTTTGTTTTTAGCTTGTACTCTATCCATCTCTTGCAAAATGTAGGCGTATCCTGCCTGGCAGCCGCTGTTTGTTTTTTTATTTTGACAAAGGATCTCTAATAAGCTCAATAAAGGCACTAATTTATCTCACGATATTTTTGAATGTATGATTGTGTACATGTATTTTCATTTATGATTGTCAATAACATTTATCTAGACTGCGTTTGATAATTTTTGGACTTACAAGAATGTAAGAATGTACCTGTAGTATTATTTGACCCTGTAACTGGATCAACATCAAATACAAAGTCTGTTATATTTTTTTAAATAGCTAACCATGTACAAAGACAGATATGAAGAGTTTCAAACAACAATAAATAAAAGTAATGAAATGTTCCAGAAATTTAAATCAGAAATGGATAAGGTAAATGAGATTGTGATAATTAGTAATTACCTGTATGTATATTAGTGTAACTGACTTTGATTTTGGTGTGCATCGGACCATAACTTCCTAGGTTATGGCCTCTGCCTTTTTCTCAAAATGTATAACACAGTTTGTGGACGTTATAGAGGGCACGATTTTTTTTTTCTGATTTACATAAAACTTAAAATATATTTTAAGAATCAAAGGATCCTAGATTAGTTCAGTGCATATCGGACAGTAACTTCCCGGTTTTTGACCTCTGCATTGCGTGAACCAGTGTTCTGGACATGTCCTATGCCATTTTCCAAACGTCTGAAAACATTCAACCAGGAATATGCTCAATCGGACATCAAGATATGGTGAATAATATTCAAAATTCTAAAATTAATATAGTGTACTGTGTTTATATCTACCACTCAATCCAATTATCGTTGATAATAGGCTAGATTGGTTAGTTAATTAAGTGATCAATGTATTTATCGTGTTATACCGTCTATACACCTACCTTGTTTTACTACTTAATCTGCCTTGATTGGCTGACTTAATCCATTATCGGACAATTCATCAATCCAATCCTGAACCAAAGAGATTGGTTCTCCTTTGTCGAACTATGTATAAATCCAATAAGAGTAAGAGTGATTATAAACTTAATCTACGTGATTAGTGGTTTCTCCATTGTCAGACAATTCAATCTCTGTGATGTCAGACTATAACCTTCTGGATTATGGCCCCTGATAGTACAAAAAAAAATCGCTTTCGTTTTTAGTTTGTTCTCTTTTGCAAAATGTGGGCCTATCTTGCTTGGCAGCCGCTGGTTTGTAATGTGATGGAGGCTAGATTTTTTTAACAATTTTGTAAAGCATTGGGAACATGCCAGGATACCCCATTGATTTTCACTGTGTTCTGTCTATCACCTGGAAATGTGGACTTATCTTGCATGGCAACCGCGTGTATCATTTATCCATTCCTAATGGAAGTGAAGAAATATTATGTATAAATGTTATTATTTTTGTGTGTAGATGGGTAAACGTATAAAGAAACTAGAGAAAGAAGGAGCCTCGTGGAAAGCTAAGTGGCAGGGATGTAATAAAGCACTGTTAGATATGGTGGATGAAGTAAGATATCTTAATCATTTGAAATATTCTCTTGTTTGTGTATGGAAACACTCGTTATTGAATTTGAATTTTTTGCAAGAACAACTGCCTGTGCCATTGACTTGTCTACGGCATATTTGTTTGGATAGGACTAAAAAATATGAGGCACCGTCAATGACATGAATGTTAAAAGAAAAAACAAAAAAAAACAATTAAACTAAAACTAGTGAGAGCTTGATGTATATGTTGATAAACTTGATTGTGAGCTTTTAAGAAATAAAAACCAAGGAAAAAGACGTGGGCAGTAGATAATCCGAGAATTTATGATAAATGGACAACGATTAAAGACTACATCGTCTTGTATATGCAATGAATTCTCCAGCTTCCCATCAACCAGGTCATGTGATACAAACATGACCTCTTTTAATAGATTTTTATAGCAGGGGTATTGCCTCGCAAAAACAATATTTTGAGGATTTGAAGCAAAATTTTGAAAATTTAACCGCGGTGTTTTTGCAATTTTAGCCTGTGAATTAAGCAACTTAACACTTTCAAATCGGTTTGCAACCAAAATCCAACTCTATGCCGACCTGATTCTAACCATTCAATCAGACTGTTGCAACTACATTCACAAATAATAATCAATGCCCCCAAAATGCTGCACAAAGTGCTTTAATCCATATTTGTTCAGTACAAATTCTAGTATTCAATTAAAAGAAAAGTAAAATTAGTGTGTTATTAAATTTCGGACACTTTATTTTGCCAACTAGATAAAATAGTAAGTCTTGTTTTCACTTTACCTGTCTGCCAGAAGTCAGATTGCCTGAAATTTAGAGGGCTAGCTGTGCCTCCTCATCCCCGTTCGTATGCCTATGCATGGAAAACAGAAACTATAATCTTTTTATTTCGTTCTAGAAACAAAAGAATGACCAAGAAAGAACAAAATTACAAACAAAAAATAATAAGTTAGAATCTCTGTGTCGAGCTTTACAAAATGAACTCCATGGGAAGAAAGGAGGTGAAGTTAAAGAAATTGGTAAGTATTTGGTTTATAATCCAGGGATAGAAAATGTTTGAAAATTGTCACTTGAATTAAGCATATGAATGTTCACCTTCTTTATAGCTATTCTATTTGCCCTCAGTGTTTTAGCCTCTTGATAAATAAAATATGACTTTGACCATTGGTATTATTTTATTTTTCAGTAGAAAATTCTACACCGTTGAATACCCAAGAGGAATCTTCGAGTCCTAGTGTCGATTCTACAGAAACCACACCAGTTATTCAAAAACTTGTGAATGGAACAAATGCAGATGAAACACCTTCCAGTTCTGATACCACAAACACAGAAGAATCTTCAAATTCACACATCCATGCAGATTCAGGGGAAGGGGAGGTAACTTCAACAACGGGAGGCATTTCACAACCAGAAGAAAAACCTGCTGATGATGGTCTAGATTCGGCAGTAAATGCTATGAATGAAGTCGACTAACCCTTATATTTCACTTTATTTTTCAATAATTCTTTTCTTAGTTTTCAGTTTATTTTAAAACTACATGATGATTAGTCATTGCTGTATTTTCCATTCTTGTCTTAATTTAATTTAATAATTCATAATGAAATGTTAAGTTAATAATAATTATCTAGCTTTTGTCAGAACAATTATTTATGATTAAAGTGCCATGCTATGTATATTGAGTGAAAGCTTGTTTAAAGCTTATAAAAAGTTATTACTGCCTGCATAATTTTGAAAGAAGATAGTGCTTCTTTAGTGTATGTCATATTTACAAGTCATCTGTATGGTCTATGTTTTAAGTTACCGGTATGTATAAGATTCTTTTCTTGTAGTTTATTTTGATTGTTGTATCATATCAATAACATGGTGAGAATGTTGTATCTTGTAGAGGAGAGATAGGCACACCCATCATCTCCAACTTGTAGATATTCCCTTAACCAGCCCCTTCATTCCTCAGTGTGGTGACGCAAGGAGTGTGATATTGTCTTTTTTGCATAGAGAAAAATAAAGTTTTGAACAATAAGTGTGTAGTATTTATCTGATTATGTACTAGCCACTACAGATATATAATAACTCTTAATATGCCGAGATGCAATGAAGATACATCCCCGATTTGAATAGCGAGACAATACAGCTGAAATGTGGTATTTGATATGGTTGTATGTAGGCTGGACATTTACCTATAGTAGAAAAACAATAACCCCCGCCACCAGGAGGTCATAACAATTTTATTTTACAGTGAAACATTAGCACAAAGGGTAATAATCAAAAGTCAGCCCCACACACCATGCATGAAGATAACCTCAAAAAGGCTGTTTATGGTATCCTTCTGCACTGGCATTACAATGCTGCTCCCAGTGGCTCTGATACTAAGGCACTGTTGAATTAACACTGGCACATTTTCAGTGTTCAGGTGTCAGTCTTGTCATATTATTATTATTATTATTATTGTTCGATTTATATAGCGCTTCATTACACGTGAAGTGTTTCTAAGCGCATAATATCATGACATTCACAGAACTAGTTGTACTGATGCCAGCCTTTTAAAAGCCAAAGTTTAAACCCTGTACAATGTGCATGCAGCATAAAATCTTTATTTTCAACATTCCAATTCTGTCCAATTCAATTTCAATGTGTTTGAGAGAATTGCTCTCTGGTGCATTTACACTATCAGAAAACATTACCATCGTGATCTGAAGTTGTTACATTCAGAATTGCAAGATTAAATTGTTTCAATTTGTGCAGTATGTTTGCAGTGGAAATAAGACCCACTAGATCAGGCACCACAACCTTACTGGCCAGATTTCTAAACTACTATAATTTCTTGTTACTATTCTTGGTCGTTTTTATATGTCCACATTTCTAGTGGACATATTATGAAATATATACAGTTTTATGCACCCCTTTGAAATGACAATTTTGTCCGATTTAGATAAAACTTTAAATATATGTTAAAGATCAAATGATCTGACCCTCACTTCCTGGGTTATGGCCCCTGACTCTACGCACAATAGGCCACAATTTTTGTTCCTATTTAAAATGAATGTTAAGGAAGGGTCAAAATGATTATATGAGTTTGGACAGCAATTTCCTGGGTTTGGGTCCTTGGTTGACTATTTGTGAGGGTGAACCCTTTCCATTTCCAGCAAGGTCTGTCACAATATTCTGTTAATGTGATAAGTTTGGCAAATTTTATATGGCAAATTTGGTGTGGAGCATGAACCCCATCGATTTTCATCACACTTGGCCTGTCCAAAATTTCCTGTAAATGTGATGGAGGCTAGAGTTCTTGAACAATTTTGGTCGAAATTGAAATGAACCATTGAGACTATGATGGGATGAACCCAATTGATTTTCATTGTTCTTCGTCCACCACTTGGAGTTGTGACCGTATATGCCAACCGCTTATGGTTGTTTTTTATTGTCCCCCGCCTTGCGAAGAAATCACGGGACTATTAAAATGGGTTCGTCCGTCTATATGTCGGTCCGTCACATTTTTGGGACACAATAACTCTCTAATTGAACTAGAATGTTCAAACTTGGTGTAGTAATTTATTAGGTCATTGCCTTGATGGAGTAGGGTAAGCATAGATAAGCAATTTGATTGGTTAATGCTTTGGAACATGATGACTTTAGTTCTAATTAAGTGAGAGAGATAAACTTGGTATATAGTTTCATTACATCAATACCTTGACTAAGTTCGATAATGAGCATTTTCTGCTCAGGGTAAGCAGAGCGATAAGCAATTTGATTGGAACACAATAACTCTCCTAACTGGGCTAGAATGTTCAAACATGGTGTATGTATTTATTAGGTCAATGCCTTGATGGGAGTTCGAAGATGGGCCTTTTCTGCTTAGGGTTAAGTGATGGATAATGGCCGAAGACTGTCCATTATGTAAATAGAAAGGTTTTTCTTTGTATTTACATAATGGACAGTCTGAGGCTATTATCAAACTTAAAACATAGCACCATAGAGATACAAATAATGGATAGTTTTCTAAAAGAACAAGTCACAAAATAATGGATATGTTCTTAAAACAACATGCTCATGAATGCATGTGACAAAACACTCCAGTCATACAATGCAAGCATATACAGACAGTCCAAAATATTCGACATGGAGGCGACATGTTTATAACACAGTCGAAAACAAATATTAATACGTGATAAGCATTTCGATACGGATTACATTTGGTAATGTACTCAATATGGAAGATAATAGCCGTAAAAGTTGTGATGTTCTTGTTATGGGGGATAATAGCCGTCAAAGTGTGATGGAACGGCTGCTCGCGAAAATGATTTAGACATTAATAATATTCTCAGTACTGTGGAGGGTACTAGCCGTCCAAATTTTGATTTGAAAGTTAATATATACTCTGATATAAGTGACAGGACACAGGATCAAAGGCCAGTGCCGGATTAATTTGGCTCTGCTGGTCCTAAGGCACATTTTGATCGGTGGCCTGAAAATACAGATATTTTGGGTTCACCGATTAAAGGATGAAAGTTAAATTTAACAGCAGAAAGTTTATTACAAAAAAAAATTCAAAACCAATTTTTTTTGACAATACTGTAGTTACTATAAGATTACAGTAGCTAGATTCATTTTTTGTGGTCTGGACTCTTGGCTGGCCCTAAGGCATGTGCCTTATTTGTCTAATGGTTAATCCGGCACTGTCAAAGGCACAAACCATTTAAGGAAATTCGAACTCAACTGTCATTATGGTGTAACGGTGATATATTTGAACGAATTTTAAAATCGGATAAAAATTGTGACCTGTAGAGGTTCCACAGGCTCAAAACACGTTTTTTTGTTCAATCAGGGTTCATAATCCAGGAAGTTACGGTCCAATTTGCGCCAATATCGCAAGGAATCGAGATCTTTGGGTTATAAACACACGTGTTCAGTTTCATCAAAATGGGCTAAAAATTGTGACCTCTAGTGCAGGGGCGTAAATGTGGGTGGCAAAATCAGTGCAGTCGGTCGCAAAATAAGAGCAGTCGGTATTAAAATAAGTGCTCACTGCACACGTCACGCTACTCACGCAAAACTTTAGTATAAAAAAACCTTGTCAACTTATCATGTTTGAAAAAATGACGTGTTTCACTCTTATTCTGTTATGAGTATGTAGGTCTAAGAACAAAATTTCCCCCAGGTAGGAAAATAGTCGGTCTCAAAATAAGTGCAGTCACTGCAGTCGGTCTCAAAATTATGCATCGCCGTTTTAATGAAATAATGAGGTAAACAAATAATGCCAGAATAGATCCCAAATACTAGTCGGTAAGATATGAGCAGGCGGTATCAAAATAAGTGCTCACTGCACACGTCACTCTACTCACGCAAAACTTTAGTATAAAATAACCTTGTCAACTGATCATGTTTGAAAAAAATGTTTTTCACCCCATGGCAAAAAAATAGTCGGTCTCAAAAAAAAAGTGCTCACAGCAGTCGGTCTCAGACTAAATGAATTAATGGGGTGTTTTCTGGCCATCAGAATTCTGCAAAATCTCTCCCCAAAGTCCAGGGCATTTCAGAGACCAAGTAAGTGCCCCATTGCGGTAAAGTACCCTCAGGCCCAGTCCTCAAAAATTAAAAGCTCAGTTACATATCGGCGCTCAATTCCATTATGCCATCATTCTTCAACTCCTTCTCTGTTTTATACTATCTCATCACTATCATATTCACAGTTACAGTGAACTTTAGTTTCTAGAGCATCCACAAGATATTTTGAAGTTATCAAGAGCCAGAACTCTGGCAGTAATTATCGAAAATTGCTGGAAATCAATAGGAACCTTCGCCTCATGACCTTAAACACTGTGTATAAATTTAAAGTCAATCGGATATTAACTTTAGCCTCTAGAGCGTCCACAAGAGTTTTTGAAGTGATCAAGGGCCATAACTCTGGCAGTAATTATGGGAAATCGCTGAAAATCAATAGGCGTCTTCGTCTCATGACCTTAAACATTGTGTATAAATTTAAAATCAATAGGAACCTTCGCCTCATGACCTTAAACACTGTGTATAAATTTAAAGTCAATCGGATATTAACTTTAGCCTCTAGAGCGTCCACAAGAGTTTTTGAAGTGATCAAGGGCCATAACTCTGGCAGTAATTATGGGAAATCGCTGAAAATCAATAGGCGTCTTCGTCTCATGACCTTAAACATTGTGTATAAATTTAAAGTCAATCGGATATTATGGACGCCGGACGGACGGACGGACGGAGGCGACGACAATATACGACCACATTTCAATGTGGGCGTATAAAAAATGCTACTACAGGGAAAAATGCTCTCTTTGATCCCCTGGCAGGTGGGCCCTCAACCATACAGTCCATCCCTGCACATCTCTGAGCCCCTGGCTTCAACCACGCAGTCCACCCCTGCACATCTCTGTTCAGGCTCAGGGAGGCAGTGCCAGGCTTAACGGGCTGTCCCAGACCTAACGGCTAACCTAGACCAAAACAGAAAATGTTCAGAGTTCGCTAGAGAACGATTTTTTGGCCGGGAAAACGAGTTTGCGTGCGGCCGTCCAATTTTCACCCCCCCCCCCCAAAAAAAAAGTCCACTTCCCACGATGACAACAATATCTTAATTAAATATCTATTCATATTGTCAGAATATGCCAGGAACATACATAGATTGCTAAATGTTATTTTCAGTGAAATGGATAAAGAAAACTGATCTTACAATTTACGAATACGTAGCCAACGGTTTAGGAATAAACAAAATAGTTTAGTTATTTCTCTTTATTTAGCATATATAAATAATTAACAACTCAAGAAAAATTCGAGCACCATTCAGTATGCTCTTTATCGAGCACGAAAGGGGAGGTAACTCTGTACTGACCCATTCTCACACAGTAAACGATTTAACTTAAATAAAGACGGGGGGAAATATACAATGCATAAAGAAATCTCCGCAGTAATTTACTATAAGACAGAAGAATCCCACGAAATGATATAATAAATCAGTACAATAACTTGAATGAAGATACAAACGTTATAAAATTAATATAAGTGTGTATATCCAAAACGTAAAAAAAACCTCTTAACATGTTATTTCCAGCTTGTAGTACCGTACGCATATAGACATTTCAATGTATTGTTAATTTATTTCCTTCTACTTCATGTTTAATACACTGTCAATACATTCCTGGAATTTTCCGAGCCATCAACATTTTCTAAAACACCCAAGATACAAGTCTCCCATAAACCTTAAACATACGTTGTCAATATTAGCTTTCACTGCACAACATAGACGACCTGGTAAGCCACAGAAAACAGCAAAATGAGTACACAGTTAAATACACAAATACATTACAATATGGTCTGCGATTATAGCTGCCTTTACAAGCTTTTCCGTATCCAGGAAAAGAAGAAAATGGTCCGCAAAGCCAGGAAAAGTCCGTGTAGAAACGAACGTGAAAAATACAAGCATCTTGGTATCATCAAAAATGGTTATAAAAGTCGAAAGAGAAATACTCCGTCAATCGAACCCCTGGACTAGTAGGATTTTAAGGACATCTAAAAACGAAAACCACATATAGGAGCTTTCACAGTAAATGTGTCCATCATGGGTCGGATGAAGTGGTAATCATTGGCTTTACAATACGGACATATAGTCATGTGACTATATTGACTGTAGAAATTTAGCCCTGTATGTAGATCTACGACTGCCCGTCGGCAATATTTACAGGTAAGCCTCATCTGACAGCATGGCATGGCTGCAAATATATCATATGTATACATGGTGCCCAATAGAAAGGTACTTCCATCCCAACGTCTCTTACACGAGGCACATCTTACATCGGAATGACCATCGAGACATCGTACACAGCATGCGTTTAAGAACTGAATTCTTCCTTCATAAATAACTTGAACTACCGCCTCATCGTAAGCTTGAGGAGAAAGAAACAAAGTTCCATCAATCAACGGATAGCGATCGAATACTGGCAATGTATCTTTACACAAAACACATTTCAACGAGGTCATCTTATGTGAACTTAGGTTAGACAAAACAAAGCTTCGTGTGTCATCATTACCATGGGGACCCTCATCTTCCATCTTGATGTAATACGGATTCTGTTTAAATTTTGGTAACATACTAAAAGCAGAGAGATCTTGACGCCTTCGAAATATATTTCCTGACGAGGCAATGCTTCCCTGCTCAGCGACCAGTCCGTTATCCAGTCTTCTTCCTTTCAAAAATATATTGGCATTTACAGGCGAGGATGACATTGGTGGTGATCCAGATGACGCAGAATTTGGGGGGCTGCTCCCAGTACTACTGACACTATCTGTACGAAGGCGCAGCTGGGCAAAATTATTTGTGATAGCATGAGGTGTTGAAGGTGTTTTAACAGAGTGTGTGGTTTGGTTATTGCCGTTGGCATCATGTCCATGTGAATTACTACCGCTTAATGGCGTGGGATTATTAGTGTGGTTCTGGTTATGGGGAATTTTGTGGTTAGTACTCACGACTGGAAGCGGTTTATCGTTTTTCTTTTTGGTCTTCTTTTTCAGTTTAGTGTTATCTGTAGAGGCGGCTTTAGGAAAGTAATCTAAATCCTTTCTCATATGTCCCCGTCCACATTTACAATCACATGCCTTGAACGCCAAATCATAACCTTTCTTGGTCCACAGATTTTGAAGCCGCTGCTTTTCACTCCAGCTCCTGGCTCGTCCACACGAACGCAAGAAAGACAGAACAGATTCTTCCCATTCATCAAAGCATCCCCGGTGCATCCAGTTTCCAATCGTGCAATTTTCATTATTACAAACAACTTTCATTGCGTCGAAAGGTTCCTCTGGGTCTATTGTATCATTCATTTCCTTGCACCCTGTTGGAATGCAACATTTTGCCATACGATGTTCGGCGCGTTGGTTATTTCCAGCCCTCTCACCGCCGCCATGATTGTTATGATTCTGAACATGTTGTACAACGTTGTTGTTGTGTCTATCATCCTCTTTGTGACGATGATTCTTTGCAGCTTTATGTTGTGGCATCTTAGATTAGTTTAACTCAGTCCAAATTTCTATCTTTTTCCAACTGTCACACAGTTTTAATGTCAAACATTTAGAATACACATATGGATTCTCAACAATACAACACAATTTAGCCGGTCTGTTTTGGTTTGTAACAGGAGGCGTGACCACGCCAGCTTGCTGGTTGCCGAATAAGCATAAAGCTACTTGATTGGTTACGGATGAAATTGATCGATGTTTTGATTGGATAACTCTTAAAACTAGCCTTGAGAAGTGATTCATTCTTATCCAGGGCCGATGTGTTTACATCGTTGAAGTAAGGTCAAGGACTTTACCAAATTATTGTCAACATACATTTTCTTGAATGTTCGGTCTTGTAGGTTAACTTATAGCGTATCATGCTTTATCCGTATAAGATCGTTTAACATATTTTTCATACTGGTTTAAAATATGGGGAATCTTTGCTATATTTCTTTATGTTTTGGGGACAAGGCATAGCGATGCATGCTGCACAGCGCTGAATAAATTGACAAAATATCGGTTACGTTTCGGCTTAATAATAAATTTCCCGGCCTGGAATTGATTACTCAACTAGGCTTATTTATTGTAGTCCAACGCTACATCTCAATTTATCATAGTGTAACGTTAGCTAGTTTCTCTGATACTAAATCATTTTTTCTGCAATTTCTTTCTACACTGACTGAAAGCTTTTCGTTTGTAATGGAAAAAATATTTTGCCAGGGCAGTGGTTGGTGCAGGGTCGTGTTGACACTCTAGTCCTTTTTACGACAGAAAGCCCACGATTAATTTCAATATGAAAATATAATGTCTCGGGGATTGTCATGTGCAGGACGAGAGCCTGGTGATAACAGCGTCTAGTCGGCGTGTACGTTAATAAAGAACCCTTGACAGCAGGAATTCGATATTTATAAGAGTAGGCCATAGTGCCGCTGCCCGGGCAAAATTTCCCTCACAGCTCACTGTATGGCATATGCCCGTCTTCATTAGCTCAGTCGGAGCAGAACAGTAGGACGTTAAACCCCCATTTCATTTAAATCCATGCCTCAAAGAATCCTATTGATTTTCAAATATTTATAGGTTTGCTTTTGACCAATTTAAACAAAAAAACATTGTGACTTGGAATTTGTGCTTGGTGTATTCTATATGAGACGAAGAAGCCTGGTAATTAATTGATTTATCAACCTGAAAAATGTTTTGGGGCGTTCTAGACGTTTTTGAGTCCGATTTCGACAACCTTGACGTCTATCGCAGGGATTCATTATTTTATATCAGTACTTGCAAATGTTTGATTAGGACTTGGCTTATATCTCACCAAAGCCTAATCTTTGTCTATTTGACAACTGAATTCAAAGGTATTCAGAAGAAATATTTACTGTGGATATAATAAGTAGTAAAGAATTATTATACGTGCCGCTAGTCAGTTTTGTTTACATGAACAACAAGTGTAAAGATCACCTCGGGTTAATTTGACCCGACTTTACCCATTACAAGAAGATAAAAAAAAAATGTTTTTGCTTGAAGTTCAGGTCACTGAATTTACGTTAAAGCGAAGACACAACAGAATCTGCTATCTTTTTGAAGAATTGCAATTTTTATATGTATATTTTAAAATCTCCATGATTTTGTTACAGATCTGTTAAAATGTGAAGTTAATCATTTTATAGCCCACCCTCACTTCTGTCGTTCCTATTGTTGTACACCTCCTTTAGCAACAATGACTTGGATATTTGAATGTTATAAACAGAAAATAGTTTTAATTGTCCTGACAGTGTACATTTCAAGAGGGGTTCACCAAGCGGTCACTATAGGTCCTGATAATAAAGCCATCAGTATTACAGAAAGTTCAGAATAGCGCGACGGGATGCTACTCGTGGAAACCATGCAACACGTGCATGCAATTATCAATCCGTTTAATAGAAGTATTGCGAAAAGTCTTCTTATATTGTAGGGAGTAGGGGCCTAGCGAATACTCACTGCTGATATACTAGTGTGTGAATAAATAAAATAAAACGAACAAGTACGAACAATCCAAACCAGACAAAATTCGAAGTCCTAAAAAAACGGTATAGGCAAAATAGTGTAATCAGCAAATGGACTGTTCACCGTGTACAAAATACACGACAAACAGTGGTAACAGGTAAATTATATATGCTCTATGATTTATTGATAGTTAAATCAACCGCCCGTTGGACCGATTTTAAAATATGTTCACAAACTGAATAGTATTTAGAGAATCGTAAGACGCTGGTTCGCTAGCCTGGAGGTCGGGTGTTCGATCCCTGCATTGGCCGAGAAAGTTCATCCAGATTTTCCGGCGTGGTTCCCCCTTGTCAGTGATGCAGGACAGAGGGCCTGACAAGGAGAGCTGTCTAGTCGTTCGGATGGGACGAAAAACCGAGGTCCCGTGTACAAATTGGCGTGCTCGTAAAAGATCCCTTGACAGTTGGAATTCGATATAAGTTTAGGCCGTAGTGCCGCTGTCCGGGCAAAATTTCCCTCATAGCACACTGTATGGCGTATGCCCGTCTTCATTAGCCCAGTTCGGAGCAGAACAGAAGGACGTTAAACCCCATTTAATTTCATTTCATTTCAACCAGTGTGCCGCGGCACACCGGTGTGTCGCGAGATCTTCCTAAGTGTGCCGCGAAATTTTGCACGGCACACTAAGAAAATTTCTCACTAAAGAAGCAACCTTGACTGATCAAATTCGAAACAATGCAATAAATTCAGTTCATACTGTTTTTTTCTTTATTTAGTTGGAGTCATTCTATGACGAGTTGTATACCGTCTATGACTTGCCATGTTTTATTTTGTAAAATTCAAACATTTTTCATATATATTTAGCCAGGTGTGCTGCTATTTCTTTATGTGTTCTAAGGTGTGTCGTTGGCAAAACAAAGGTTGAGAACCATTGATTTAGAGAATGTGACACTTCCAAATGTTCCAAACACATTGATATCTTATAAAATAAAAAAGCTAAATTAATACATTTAAAACATAATTCAAAAAGATGAAAGAAATAATAGACCCCAAATTTCTTTCGATCACTATATTATATTAAATATTACAGAAAACGTACAGCAGATCATCCCCAGCCCTTTGATTACCAGGTTATAATAGAAGCCCGGTGTCGTTGTTAGTTATAAAATATGGAACCTTGTATTATCTGCCATGGCATTTTTGCAAGTTAATGGAAGAACTACATAAAAAAATGAGTGAAATGGGGTTTAACGTCCTACTTTTCTGCTGCAACCGGAATAATTAATACGGGCATACGCCATGCAGTTTGCTACGAGTAAAATTTGTTCGTTTCATCGGACCGGTTTCCTACATAAACCGTAATAAATGCATACATATAGAAAACCATAATATATCAGTTGGTAAAGCCAGTCCCTAGCTGGAGCAGCTATATGTAATTACATCGACAGTCCCCATTTAAAATACAGATGTGACGTCATCCTTTAATGTTGGCGTACCATTATTTCCAATAATGAACGGGCAACTTGCCAATCGTACATTATCTATACTATACTATTCAAAAAAAGTAGGGGATATTTGATTTTTAAGTGTTATTAAAGTCACCTAATGAAACTGACGAAGAAACAAATGACAAAATGAAATGAAGTTCACATTCATCGATTTATTCCAAATGATCGTTAGACTAAGTAAGGCACAGACTGACCATTATAAGGGTACAATGATACCCGGGGTCAAACAGCAAAGTTACCACAGCATCACAACCAAGTCAGTAACGGGTAAATCCTCCTCTGTTTGCCAAACAAGCATTGATCCGACGTGGCATACTCCTAATGAGACGTCTAAGGTCATTTTGGTCCAGATTGTCCCATTCCTGTTGCAACGCAGCAGCAAGTTCTTGGACATTGGCAGGACGTTGTTGACGTTGACGTAACCTCTGTCCAAGCATGTCCCAGACATGCTCGATGGGGGAGAGGTCGGGACTCAGTGCTGGCCAAGGTAATGTGGTGATGTTCTGTTGTTGGAGGTAACCTGTAACGATCCTGGCCCTGTGACATCTTGCGTTGTCATCCTGGAAGATGAAACGGCGGCCATGACGTCGTGCGAACGGCACAACATGGACGGCCAAGATGTTGTCCCGGTAGTACTGGCCTGTAACACGCCCTGCAACAACATGTAAAGCCGTTCTTCCAGCAACAGTGATGCCTCCCCACACCATAACAGAACCACCCCCAAATCGATCATGTCTGATGACGTTAACGTCTTGGAAGCGCTCGTTTCGACGACGCCACACCCTCCTACGTCTGTCCAAAAAATCAACAGTGAACCTTGACTCATCTGAAAACATCACATTGCTCCAGCGTCGATTATCCCAGTGTTGACGATCCCTACACCAACGACGTCTTGCCTGAATGTGATGATCTCTCAAACAAGGGATCACGCGAGGACGTCGGGCGCGAAGGTGACCCCTATGCAGTCGATTCCGAATCGTCTGGCCACTCACTCTCACACCAGTGTCTGTTTGAAGACAAGCGCTGATCTGATTTGCTGTGATGACACGATTTCTCAAGGCCAAGGTACGGATAAATCGATCCTGGGCTTGAGTTGTCGCCCTTGGTCGACCTGAGCGTGGTCTGTCCTGTACAGATTGTGTATCACGGTATCTGGACCATAGCCTGCTTATGACAGACTGAGAAACATTCATCGTCCGCGCCACAACCGCCTGTGTTGTGCCGATCTGTAGCATGCCAAGGGCACGTAACCTTTCATTTTGGGTAAGCCGACGCATATCAAAATTTGTTTTCTGGTCACTAAAACAATTAAAGTGATGTTTCCACCCTGAAATTCAATGCCACAATGACTGTAACATTCAAAGTTAGAGTCGTGCAAATCTTGGGTTGGACCCCCATGATGATCCCAAGCATCACCTGCATTCCATGCGGTAGCTATTGGTGCGTTTGGGCGTCACATGTAACTGGAAATGTTTCTTCTGTTAGGTTCTATAGTGACTTTTTTCGTAGTCATTTGTATATTTTAGTATTATGCCCCCAAAATCAAATATCCCCTACTTTTTTTGAATAGTATAGATGAAATATTGGACTAGCGTGACGTATTTCATTGAAAAGCACGTGTGGGATAGTGTCTGTATTTTAAGTTGTTTAATGGTCTCGA